AAAGGTGATTGATTCAATATTAATTGGCCGAAGAAAACATGCCTTCTTTTCCGCAGCCCTTTTATATACATGTAAATCAGGGGTGTGAAATCTCAGCTGTAAAGCTGATTTCAGCTTTTTTGTTTTGGATTTCAGCTTTTTTTCCCTCACCTGCTGTGTACAAAAGTACAGGAGATTTCCAAAGTTCAGCTTTTTTTACACCTTTTTGAGCTGTTTTCAGCTAGTTTTATCAGTGGTCACTCACACCCCTGATATGTATACACATAATCCAGCAAAATATGCAACTTGCAAAGTGTACGTGTACACTGTGTACACAGCATGCACTATCTGTGCAGTTGTCAGAATTGTTTTAAAATAATTGAAAAGGTAGCAAGCGTGCACATTGATGCATGTTGCTCTCAAGCTAATAAGCACGTCTCGAGATAAATGAACGCCCAGACAAAGACAAATAAACCGGGCACCGATGTCTACAACAATCGGGGATAATCGCCATATGTTGTGATGCAACTGGGCTCCAACCTGAACGTGTAATTAGTTTAGAAAAGTCATTCATTACTCCAGCCTTACTGAGCAGTTGTCTGTCATCATCAATGACAAATGCTTAGAAAAAAAAATAGAAATGAGAATTAAAAAAAAAAAAAAAAAAAAAAAAAAAAATGGGGGGGGGCCTTTATAGAGATTTATGTAGTTTGTACAGTTTCTTTTATTTGTGAGCCATGATATGTATGGTTATATCTTTCCTATATACTTAACCCATACTCTCAGTACCACCCCAAAGCGCCCTGCCTGTTACTCGTTATAAATATCACTGCACTATACATGGTTTTGTGGAGTAATTAATCGATTTAATACAGTGTGGTGTAATTTGTTAGTGCGCTAAAGTAGGAAAATGTATCAATGTGCAAATATAGCACAATTATGTGGTTGGTTTGTGTGCATTTCATTTTCATTGTTTTCAAAATTATTTATTAATAGTATGTTTCAGGTGTCTATATGCTCATTGAATTTTGATTTGATAATTCCTTGTTCCTGTTGTGTGGTCACATGTAGTTATTCTTTCACTCCTGTATTCATTTACAAGTCACTTTAATTAATAGTTATTTCCTTGTTCATTTCAGTGTTGTCCTTTTGTGTAATTGGCATTGGCATTGGGGGGGGGAATATTTTTTTACCCTGCTTGTATGTGTTCACTGTTTCATTGCATTTGTTTCATTTTCTTGGGAGTACTTCACAGATTGTAATATGTTGCAAAGGCTACTACAGGGTGAGTCAACAAAAGCGGAACCCAAACCCCCACAAATATATTTCATGTTTAAAAAAATATGTAGCACCAAAAATAATAATGACTGGAAAGCTAATTTCATAAGCTACTTTTAGATGAAAAAAATTACTGAAATTGCTCAATCCGTTCAAGTAAAATCACCATTTAAACACAATGACTCTAAAACCTGTCTCGTCCAAAAAAAACCACCAATTTATTGTGTCGTTTGACTGTTTGGAACAACAAAGGAAATGACACGGGATACTTGTTTCAACAACTGTCACCAACTGTAGTACACAATATCTTTATTAACAACCCTGGTTAGGCAAACAATATGATTTATAAAATATACTTTTTTTTTTAAAAGACGGGCCTTCAAAAGGACTTTGTTGCATATTTTTAACGTTTAAACTTAGATTTTATCGCTGGAGATGTTTGAAGACAATTGTGATGACGATTCTTGAAATCGCAGTTTTTGGACGAGACCGGTTTTAGGGTCATTGTGTTTAAATGGTGATATTCTTTGAACGGATTTTTGGCCAATTTCAGTAACATTTTGATCTAAAAATATGAAATTGTCTTTCCAGTCATTATTATTTTTGGTGCTACATATTTTTTTAAATATGAAATATAATATTTTGGGGTTTGGGTTTCCCTTTTTTTTGACTCACCCTGTATATGTATATACACATGTACACGTATGTAAAGTGGATATTTGTGTCTAAACATGGAGCTATAAAAAGGAACTTAGCCAGATTCTCCGTAACAGTGAAATTGATGGCAAGGAAATAATAAAAAATGGCACAAATGTTCACTTCACCATTCTCTGCAGAGTCCTAGCCTGAGAGAAGTGATGGAAAAATAGGGTTAGAGAGGGCTGGCACAAGTCTAGGGTTTCTCACATCCTTCCCCATCATGGAGTAATGACACGCTTTGTGCCTCGCTCGTTTGACTGTGACTGCCTATGAAAGTGATCGCTAAGATCAACCTCTCCCCCCCCCCCAACCCAATCTGCTTGATGCTGGATAAAAGCATCCACAGCCATTATTTTGAGACCGAAGACAAGAGATCATGAAATGAGATTTTGTATACAAACACTGGCGAGACCACATGATTAGTTTTCCATGTGCAGCCTGATAATACCCAAAGATAGTGCATTTCCAGATGTTCTTGTTTTGTTCGGGAGCGAAAAAAAGGAGAAAGACACTGTTGGTGAATTAGTTTCTTGTTGGACAGAAAGGATATGGGGACAACTACATGTGTACATGTAGTTTTCGCTTTGAGTCAAATTGTGACCAAAACAGTCAGGTTAAGAGGAGATCACTTTCTCGTGTTGACATTTGACAGAAGACAGTCTAAATTTGTACTTTTGAGGATGTAAACTCTTTTATTTCTGGGTCATTCAATAAATTTGGGGTCCAGAGTGTGACTTTTCTCCCCCCCCCCTTGCCTTGATACTTTTTAATTTGCCAATCAAGTATCATTATAATACTTCAGATGATCTTTTATTTGTTGGGTAGGTAGTTTGCTACTCGTAATCACTCTGGGAGGACAACTGCATTAATTAACCCTAACTCCCTACTGACATTTACTAAGTACTGGACCAAGTCCGCCAAATTCCATCAACCACACTGCTTAACAATGCATGCTTTCCTTGAGGCTTCCAGGCCCAAGTCTATCATTCTCCATCAATAATAGTCAGACCAGGCCTGTCGGACCAAGTCCCCCAAAAATCCACCAAAATGGGGGGATGGATTTTGATGGAGTTGGGAGTTCGGGGTTAATTAAGGAGTGCATCAGAATGACTAAATCATAGACATGTCAAATGGTGAAGGGAAAAAAGTGGACCCCAAATTTATGGAAGGACCCATATGTCTGAGTGAACCAGCCAACTTTATTGCATGAACCTGAAACTTCCATGTTTGTTTCTGTAGATGTTTTCCCAGTTGTCCGTTGAAGATCACGTCATATTTTTAGCTCATCCATTTCAGGGAATTGAGAAGAGATAGAATTTCTCTCTTCGTGGGCCTTAATAAATCTGCAACCCATTTATATCCAATGGGCGGTACTTTTTTCAGCGAGGTTCATTGTAATAGATACTCTCAAAACCATCTCCAAAATGGACTGGAAAAAAGGACCGAAAATCCCCTTGAAAAGAAATGTGATACTTTGTCCGTAATGACTGTCCTCGTGGGGGATTTCGTTAGAGTCTTGCCTTACCAGTGTGCGCTGCAGAAATGTATTTTTAGGGAGAAAATAGAAACTTGTTCGGGTGCCTTTAATAAGTGTAGTATTGTTTGACCTGTCGAAGGAAAAATTTTGTAAAGGCTTTTCAAAATGTTTTCTAGCTTTCAAATCTTTCATTGTAGTTTGATTCTTGAACTGTAGATCATTGAATGTATACACACACTGCAGCAATGTTTACGTGTACATGCTTTAGTAAGCGAGACTACAAGTGCTACAATGTACATGTATTTTTTCATTGAGGTGCGTACATGTACATGTACGTACATTGGTGTGTACAATTATAGTGCTTAATTCACATGCACAGTTGTCACAGTTACTATGAACTTTTGAGTGTATTAAAAAAAGTTATGTGTGCACACGTATTTAATAACTGTTAATGAAATTTGAAACCTCATCGCCAAGTGTGAAAACATTGATAATTATATTGTTTGTATTTCTTTGTAAACCACTTGAAATGAACACTGTGCACATGTACACAATGAACTAGCATGCACAATGTACATTTATTATACATCTACAAATGTATACATGTATAGATGTGTACGTACCGATATTTAACATGCATTGTTCGGCACACATGTATACAACTGTACACGTCCCTGAACAATTACACTGATAGCATTTAAGGAAGTTGCAATTCAGAACTGCTTTGCTAACTTCCTTTTAAATTTATCAGGTGCCTTGTTACGTACACCTTTTCTATGAAACCAACGTTTCAAAACAATCAAAAAGGTAAACATTTTCATGAAATTTGGACCCTGGTCGTTTCCTGCGGGTCAAAATTTCTCCCTAACCTCTGCATCAGTTGTTCAAATCGCACATAAAAAATTATGAAAATACTATTGTCTGTTTTGTTTTTGGTTTTTGTTTTTTCAACAGGAAAGGATACCTTTCACGGAAAAAATGTATTGCATTACCATACCGTACCTTATTGAAATGGAAAACTTTGTTCATGTATTATTTTAATCGTTGTATTTTTTTCATAACATACATGTACAGTGTTTTGTTTATATTGTCTCTGATTGCACTGGGTGGGGATTTTAATAAGTATTCTGGTAATTTAGAGTTGTTTTCGGAGTTTCAATTTTACATGCAAATACAATGTACATCCTGATACATGTACTGAGAATAAGTGTGTACAAGCATATACATGTAATGTCTACAGTTTACATGTACTTGTTTTGGTACAGATACATGTACGTGTACATACATCTAAGCTAAGATTTTTTTTTCTCTCCCTCGTTTTTAAATTTTCATTGTTTTTTGACTTTGTAAATGCCAAAGTCAAATTCTGGAATTCATACATATGTACATGTACAACAAATGCCTGCTGTAGTGATTGCCATCGTAATCATTCCAAGCAGGTGACATAAATTTTTCCCCCTAGCAGATGACAGATCCATAAAATGATCTCTGCATTTTTATTATCGCTGCTTCAGATAACAACTTGAATTTTGAATATTTGTTAATTTTTTTGTCTTTTTTTTTACAGGTCCATTCAAATTTCCCTTTTGACTGATTGGATGATACACGAAGCGAATAAACGTTTGCCCGTCTTCGGTTAAGCCACCCCACCCGGACTAGTTTTTTTTTTTTGGCCCAAGAGGAAGCGGAAATTGCCAGCAACCATGGCGATTCTTCACTCGCCCTCCGTGGGCCTGGAGGACATGGCCAAGCTGACGGATCTTCAGGATCGGAGCATCTTGGAGAACCTTCAGCTGCGCTACAACCACGACCAGATTTATGTGAGTTGCCTCCGTTTTTATCCCGTTTCTGATTGAATCGAGACCAACGTTGATTTACGGAATTAGGTTATCTTGTTTGGGGAGGGCAGGGTGGCCGGCAAGTGGGGGGGGGGGGGGGGGATTTCAATGGCAGTGTGATGTATTCATTACATTTGTAATGTATTCAGTGACGGTGGACATTTATTTTAGGCGTGAAGGGAACAGCAGTGTTTTGATTAAAGTGAAGTGAAGCAAATCGGACAGATAAAATTACAGTATCGGGGCTTGGAACGAAAAAAAGGATTTTTCAATTTTGTGAGGATTGAGAATGTGCATGGCCTGAGATTTGTTGAGGCTTTAGCCAGGATTTTGTGAGAGATATTGGATGGATTGGAGAGGACTCAAAAATATATTGCACGCTCTACATGTAACAATATTTCGACTCGTGCAATATTGCTATAGTTGCAATGGTTGTATCCCCCCGAAAAAGTCCAATGTTATTCTAATTAAGACTTAGGGGTTAAATTGAATCTGGGTTATGGGTTATGGTGTGTGTTCGACTGGTGGGTCTGCATTCTGCACCAGTGAATTGCACAAAATTAAATGCTGGTAAGCATAAATTCTTCAAAAACCAAAAGATGACCAGGATTTTTTTCTTTTTTAATTTCTTTAATTTTGTTATTTACTGTTATTTTTTAATACATTTATAAACAAAAATGGCGTCATCTCGACGCTATTGCTCTTGATATTTTGATTTAGAAAAAAATGGCTATCGTACAAGCTACATGTTTGATCTATATTATTAAGTTTTTTTTTTTCAACTAATGATTGAAATTGTACGAGTTGATTGATGCGCCTAATAGCTACCGTATTCCTGATTTATCTGTGCATTCTAAAAGCCTGGTTACGTCCGTCGGGTAAGATTAAAGGCATTTCGTCTTTCGATTCCAATTTCAAGAGTATGGTGATGTACATTAATGACCGCAAGTAAAGCGAAGTGGACTGAATTTGTCCCAGGCCGTAGTATACAAATTTGCATTGAAATTACAATTAGTACTTAACATTCGAGAATTAGCTGTTCCCTCTGATTTGATTTACGAGCTTGAATAAAAAATGTCTAGGGAAATCAGAAGTCACCAGAGGCTTGGATTTGAACCCGGACGATATCCACAATTAAATTGTTATCTCAAGTGATCGCCGTTTTGAATTGTAAATCTTTCCGGAGCGATGACTAATCCGTTTTCATTGGCCGTGTGTCCAACAATCTAGTTTGAATATTCATTACCCTTGACAGACCTGTTTCTCTCTGCTGAATACAGATGTACCTTGTGCATTTGAAGACACAAAATGCTGGAAAAGTCATTACGTTGTAACAGGCCGAGCAGGCTGGGGCGTGGCGTGGGGGTATTAATCAAAAGAACTACCAAAGAAAATACTTGGTAAACTAGACATAAAGGATGCTCGTTCAAGAAAAAGGAGGAGCTTATAAAACATAAAAATTGTATTCACATGTTTTAGCTGAGTTTAAACCGCTTATTGAATACAGTGGAACGCCGCTTTAACAAACATCGTGGGATCCACAGAAAATGTTCGGTATAGTGATTTTAAGGTGCCAGTGCTCCAGTACTCACTTTTCAATAAATAGCGCCATTCATAACTTCACCCTGCACGCCCTGGTAGTTACTGAAAGACGACTGCGAACACGTGCCAGCTATTGCACTTTATAATTACACAGTTTTGGGCTTACTACCTACATTGATGGGTGGAATTCCCCTTCTTTCCCTTGGGGAAATAATAGCCACTTGTCGCTCTTCTGTTGACATATATTTCAAACACAATGTTCGGTTGGTTTTTCTGCACAAAAATCAGGAGCCAAGGATGATGTTCGGTATAGCCGAATGTTTGGTATAGCGGTGTTCGCTATAGCGACGTTACACTGTAGTAACATTAAATGAGATTACATCATTACTACCGGTATGATGCTTAAATCTACCCATTGTTGCATTTTTTCTTTATGATTGAGAAACCACAGGAACATGTAGTCTTGTTGGCTTTCATGTGAAGTGAAAATGAATTCTAGCCGGGCTGTAAAACATTTCCAAAATTCTAGTAAGGTAATCCGTTCTCCCAATTTTATGGAGAACATGGCATCAACTAAATGTATGTATGATTGCGTAAGTTTTTTATGAAAATGTTATTTTTCCTTTTTTCAGACGTACATTGGTTCCATCCTGGCAGCCCTGAACCCCTACAAGTCCCTCCCCTCGTACTACGACAAGGATGTCATGCTGGCCTACAACAAGCGGCACATCGGGGAACTGCCGCCCCACATCTACGCCATCGCCAACGACTGCTACTACTCCATGTGGAAGCGCAACGACAACCAGTGCGTGCTGATCAGGTGAGGTCAATCGCAGGTCACAGGTCAAGGGGTCAAACTTTTGTGACAAAACAAGGTCGGAGGTGACAATGGTTAACCGGTAACTGGTATTTGGCTTATGTTACGTTTTTATTCTTAGTTTTGATATTTTTCGATACATCAAGTTTTTTCTGCAGAAAGCGGTCTCAACATTTTTTTTTTTTAATGTTGAATTTGAGCTTAATGTGTCAGTCACATTGTCATAGAGGGCGCCCTGGCATTACGTCATAGAAAGCTGATCCGATGAAGACATCTTTTCGTGAGCACATGCGTTTTCATTGGCTGCTTTGTGTTTTTAACCATTCAGCACTCTAGAGTAAAAAACCATTCAGTTTTATGAAAATGGATCTTGGAACGAGACAAGGGGATTTTAGAAGTTCATTGATGTCCTCACCAACCTGTTTTTAAGGAGGCATTCCATATTTTTAAAGCCCTTTTCAAACGCATTTATTAGCCTGTGTGTCCCCTGCATGCTTGGTTCTTGTACCACTGTCATAATTTGCCTCTAAAGAAGGTATCTGGTTAAGATCGGAACGTCAGGCCCTCTTATAAAAAAAATATAAATTTAAGCCAAAGTATATAGGTGGGTTTTTACATTCATTAAATGTATCTGTAGGCCAAGTATTTTAGGACAGTCCAGTATTTGAAAATTACCTGATTATTACAAAAATTCGCCATCCTCTCTAAAAACATAAAAAAGTTGTTTTGTGTTTAGGTTATTTTTTATGGGAAGTGAGGGGGGAGACATGCACGTGCCCTCAGCAGAGGTTTGGGTGCCCTCCCCCCTCCCCATTTCAAATCTTGAATTGCACACACACAATATGTTGCCCTCAGTGCCCCCCTTGAAATATTGGTGCCCCCCCCCCCCAGGTGCCCCCTTGGAGCTTAAGCCTAGTTACTCCACTGGTTTGAATGTCATACATGTATTTGTGTGAGGCAGACGGATCTAGCATTGGGCACCTACAAAAAAATGCCTGCGCTATCATGAGATCACAAGTAATTCAGGTGTTTAAGTCATGAATATCATGGCAGTTTGCGGCTTCAGGTCTGCAGAGGAATAACAATTGGCTAGATTACCAAATGTAGATCACCTTGATTCCAACCGATGCGTGACGAAGATGACCGCAGCGCAATAGCAGGCTCTGTCTCTGTGATGTATTGCAGTCACATGTGCAGCAATTTGTCCTAATGGTCTAGCATCAGTGGAGCCCTAATCCAGGGTATCTGAGAAGGGGTGATCTTGTGCGGAAAAAAAAGCGGGCGCTGAGGGGAAAAAAATGGGGCAGTTTGTGGATGTATGTCTCCCTCCCTGTAGATTTGTCTCTGGATAGAGCTGTGGTCAGAGAAATCTACTCCAAAGCTGTCTGATTGTAAAAATGTATGGCTTAATGTGTGTAGTTGATTGTTACAGGAAATGGTACCTTAGGGAGACATGGCCTTAGGGTTGTGCAACTTTAATGATCCCTTTACCCCAATTTCCCCTTATCCTTCCCCCACGAATTTTGGTATGATTTGGACCACAGACAATCGATCTAGCCTATTTGCGACACTACAATTTTGCCTCTAAATAGGAATTGTGACATTAGGGAGACCTTGTCTTCCTAGTGTCTGGTGTCTCCCTAAGGTGTAACTAATGATGGCAAAATGTCTCCTTAGAAGGTATACATTAACCTAACTCCCTAGGCTTTTTTTGCTAGGATGTAGCCTCAATCCTGCAAAATCCTCCAATTGGCCTCATAGAAAAATAGCATATAGCCTCGGTGACTGTCAATATGTTGAGGCTTGGCCAGTGACATCCTGGAGTGGATTTCAAACGTAATCCAGGCCTATATTTTTGCACGGCTGAGCAAAAACAACACAAGGTCCGGCCCAGGACCTTGAGAAAGCGCATCCTACGAAATCAGTAACGCACTTTTGCCATGTAACCTCAATCCTCCAAATTCCTCCACTTTGGCAAAGAGGATTTTGAAGGATTCAGGGCGGTTAGGGTTAACATGAATTCAGTGACCTCTTTTTTTGTACAGTTTGTTCACTGTGTGGTTAGCTGGCCTAATTTTGGCCCCCTCCCGTCTTCCATATCATAAACCAGCAGAAAATTCTGCAGTCCGATTTCCAAAAGGCCCAATTCATTAAGCTGCCTAAATAAAATGCTGAACTATAATAATGCGCATAGTTTATAAAGCACACGTATCAACCAGTATTGGTGTTCAAGAGGCTTCATCTTAATTACCCAAATATTAGCCGGTAATCAGTCACAATCAGTAGATATGACATAGTATATCTGGTTGGTAACCTGTTTACACTTAGAAGTAAATCAAGGGTGAGATTTGTCAGGATTTTTTTCCTTGTTCCAGGATAAAAAAAAAATTTGAAATCGGGAATGCCTGAGGTCTTACCTTAAAGGCGTCATTAGCAATAAAGGATAAGGGAGCAAAAGATTTTTTTTTTTGAGGGGTGCCTTTAGACAAACATGTAACATAAGAACCTACGTTGCTCTTCGGCATTCCTCGGACCCTCTGCTGATTATTTTGTGGAATTTTCATTACCCACAATTTCACCCCTGCAGAGTATAAATCTGCAAAATGTTGTTGACTGTCTTTCTGCCTCCTTCACAGCGGCGAGAGCGGAGCCGGTAAAACGGAGAGCACCAAATTCATCCTGAACTTCTTGTCGGAGATGAGCCAGGCCTCGTCCCAAGCCAGTGTGCCGCAGTTGTTTCCAGGCGGAGCCCGGCTACGAGTGGAGGATGCCATCCTGCAGAGCAGGTAAGATTATTAGCTTAGCGAAAATCTTCTACTTACTAACATGTTACTGGCCCAACTTTCATGTAATCTACGTTACTTTCCACTGGTTCCCAGCTCATATTGGAATTCCTGACAAAAATGTGAACAGCTTGTTTAAAGGGAAGATACAACATTTGCAAACATCAAAAAACGAAATGCTCAAATTATCACGAAATACCTTACTGGATTGTTAGGGAATGACAGTCTAAAGCATCCTGTAAAATCCTGGCTGCTGGTATGCTGACATTTTCAAGAAATATTGTATTTTTCTAACGCTGATCGGCCGACCAGCGTTGGAGAAAACTGGCTTTTTTTTCAAAAATCGCTCCTAATTTTTCATATTGAGTTGTCCCGCATTTTCTTTGCAATTGATTACATACCTGTGAAGAGGTACATGTACAAGCCTGCTAGACTGATTCTTTGACCTTACAATTCCCAAAAGTCTATAAATTGCTCTGTTTCATCATAAGAGGGGCCAGGGAACCAGACTACAAGAACATGATTGGTTTTCTTCGTTTTTCCAGCATCTACAAGCCAAAAACGTGAAACAAGTCAGTTAAGCAATATTTGCCATAACATACTAATCCTTCAAATCCATTTATTTCTGAAAATTGCAGCAAAAGCAAATGTTGTACATTCCCTTTAAAATATTCTTCTACATTTTTGGTTTTGTATACTGCAGTCCTATCATGGAGGCATTTGGCAATGCCAAGACCATATACAACAACAACTCAAGTCGCTTCGGCAAGTTTATCCAGCTCCAGTTCTCCAACGAGGGCAGCATACTCGGAGGCACGATCCAGGACTGTATCCTTTTATAGCATGTAGTTGGAAAATCAAGTTTAAAAACAATGTATGTCGCCCCTTCAAACTCGCCCCCCCCCCCTAAAAAAACTACAAAATATTTGCTAGATTCTCGGAACAGCTTTTATTATCAACAATCTAGTCTCGCTACTGTTCATACGTGGTTAATGGACGAAGAAGTTTAGGGAAATTTGCATTTTCAAGTTTTAGACTGTATTTCTTAACTGGGGATTCTGCGCCATCCAAAGATCTTCTTGAAAAGGTGGGTAAAACTTGTTTGATGTACTTGTCAAATTGTGATCGTTTTGATTAGACTGGTACCGATTTGTTTGCAGCTTAACGCACAACGGTGATGCGAGTGATTGCATGGCTGGAGCAGTGCAAAAAGCGCTCGCCTCTTACCACTGTGGCCCGGGTTCGATTCCCGGCTCAGGTCAAATCTGAGTAGAGTTGTTCATTGAGTGTCTCCTGTGGTTTTTTCCCGGGTTCTCCGGTTTTTCCCCCTCTGCAAAATCAACACTTTGATCTGACTGTGCTCTGTGGTAAGACATGGCTCGTATGTAACAGCGGCTGCCTGAGATACCTTTACATACCTTTGGCTGAACCATGTTGTAGCCACATCCTTCACACTGCAGCTGTCTTGCAAGTAAGGATGATTAGGCCCCCCTCCCCCAAGAAAGTATTCCCTTTTACAGTTGTAATGTTTTTCTCTTTGGTAGAATCGTGTCGTCGGTCAGAATCCTGGAGAGCGCAACTACCACATTTTCTATTGTCTACTGGCGGGCGTCTCTGATGATCAGAAGAGTGAGTACAAATATGATGATGCCAGTAACGATAATTTCTCGTAGTATACTCTTCGAAAAATGCCATGTACAATTCATGTTCTTCCTCCACGGTCCTAAAAAAAGGGAGTAGTCATTTACTCATTTCTGATCTGCACACGTATTTGAAACGTTCAAAATTGTGGCCAGGGATGTGTTTGCCTGATTCCCACATGATTCTTTCCCAAAGTTGACACATCTTCATTTGTTTACACGTATAATGTTGATATAAGTAGTTTATTTATAGTATTATTAAATTTTGTTGGATATTTGTATAATTTATTTTTTTACAGAGAAGCTTTACCTGCGAGATCCATCCTCCTACTCCTATCTGAACAAGAGTGGATGCATCTGGGATCAAACTATCGACGATGAGGAAAACTTTCAGGCGGTCATGGTAAAACTTTAAAAATGACTTGAATTTGTCCTGAATTGAATGCTTGCTCCTCCATTGTGTCTTCCCGTGCTTGAAGATGATTATGATTGTGTCCTCGGGGAAGACACTTTACTACAATTGGATCTTTCACTCAGGATTATAAATGGGTATCAATGAGGAAATCTTTCGGGCTGCCATGGTAAAATTTTCTAGAAGAAATCGAAATTGCCCTGAAATTCAATATTTGCTCCTCCGTTGTGTCTCCCCCTGCCTGAGGATGATGGTGCTTGTGTTCTTTGGCAAAACACTTTACCACAATTGTATCTTTTCCATTAGAATTAAATAAGGTATTGATAATAGGAAAACTTTCAGGATGTCTTTTTAATTCTTTTAAAGACAATCTGAAAATTTCCTGAAACTGAATACCATCTCCACCAGTGTGTCTTCCCCTGCCTGAAGATGATGGTACTTGTGTCCTCGGGCAAGCCACTTTACTACAATTGCTCCTTTTTACCCAGATCTCATGTCCTGATGACCAGGGCTACTCATTGTGAATTACCAAACAACTTTGGGAGCATCTGAAAAAAAAAAGGTGTTTTATTCCTCTGTTTCATCACAGGAAGCATTCACGGTGATGAAGATCAACGATGAGCAGATCAATGACATCTTGTCCCTCCTGTCGGCCATCTTGACCCTGGGCAACGTTCAGTTCATCACGGCCGGTGGCGCTCAAGTGAAAGACATGCAACGTGAGTATGTCAGGAACAAAAGTTCAAAAGGTCATACTGTGGCTGTCTCAAGTGGGAAAATGTCCTCACAAGAGAAAACATAGATGCAATGTTTCCATCATTTTCCAACCTTGGGGGTTGTGTTGGTCTAGTGTGAACATTTTGCTTTCAATACTCGTATTGTGTGGTTTTGTAATAAAAAATTATCTGTGCTAACTATCCAACATTCTCACACAGGGGTTAATTTTTCATGTCTGTAGTGATTCATAGTTATAATTGTTGATTTTGTTAATGTCCACACTTTGTGGCTTTGTAAGGTTCTAATATGTCATACATTTGTGAAAATTACATGTTCGTGTTTTGCATATTTTGTGATTGTTGATTGGTTGATTGTTGACTGTATTTCTACTTAAAACCAAACCAACATGTGCGCAGTCAGGTCAAGAAAGATGTGCAGAAGTATTCCAAACTTATCATTACCATTGTTATGCCTCCTACGGTACCTTATGTTCTTCCGTCTCTGTGCAGCTATACAGATTGTGGCTTCACTGCTCAATGTCGATGAGTACCAGCTGTGTGACGCCCTGACCCTCAAGACGAGGCTCCTACGTGGAGAAGTGATCAGCACACCGTTGGAGGTCGATCAGGTAGGGTCCTGTGAGGTGTCCTGAAAGAATGTGTGAGGTTATCACATACTGTAGGCAGTGAACCTCAAGATAGCTGATGAGGTACTGAAGGGTGCCTTGCACATGTATTATCCATGAGGTACTTTGAGGTACTTCTGAGGTTCCACTTTTGTCTGTTCTTTGAATTTTGCAATCATCTTGTGTACTCACACAGTACTTTAATCACAAGTCATGAACCACAGAGATACATACCTGTATGGGGTATGTGTGCCCATACAATGCGCATGAGGTACCTGTGAGGTTCCTCCATTGGACATTTCCCTTCAAATTTAACATCCGTATCTGAGGTTCACGTAAGTATCAATCATGAACCTGAAGAACATCATGAGGTATACATTTGTGAGGTTCTAACGTAGGCTTTTCCTTCAAAGATAGACCCCCTGTTATTTCTTCCATACGCAGTGATTTTTATTTATTACCTTGTCATGAGTCTCATAGATGTACTTCTCACATTGAGTCAGTGAGGTACCTGTGAGGCACACCCAGTGAAGTTAATTTTGCATTACATTTACAATTCCAAGGCTAGAACCTCGGAGATAGATATCTGGCATCGATAGATTCCAACATCGAGCCAGTGAGGTACCTGTAAAGTGCACCTTGTCATGAGTCTCATAGATGTACCTCTCACATTGAATCAGTGAGGTACCTGTGAGGCACACCCAGTGAAGTTTATTTTGCATTAAATTTACAATGCCAAGGCTAGAACCTCGGAGATAGATATCTGGCATCGATAGATTCTAACATCGAGCCAGTGAGGTACCTGTAAAGTGCACCCAGTGAAGTTTGTTTTTCACTAAATGTTCAATTCTGTGGCTAGAACCTCAGAGGTACATATGAGGCATGTGTGAGGTTCCCTTAGTACAGTTTTCCCTCATTCACAGGCTACTGATTCAGTGGACTCCATGGCCATGAATCTGTACGGCCGCTGCTTCAAGTGGATCATCCAGCGCATCAACCGCTGCATCAAAGGCAAGGAATTCTTCCGCTCTGTCGGCGTCCTGGACATCTTCGGCTTTGAAAACTTTGAGGTGAGTCTTTAAGGATTAATTTTTTTTTAAAGTCAGATATTTTTGCTCATACCATCTTTGTTGATAACCCCTACGGGAAGAATGCCAATTTAACCTGAGATTGAATCTCAGGTAACCAGTAAAACGGCCGAGGTTTTACATTTTATTATTTTTCACTGATGTTTTTAGATCAACCGCTTTGAGCAATTCAACATCAACTTCGCCAACGAGAAACTCCAGGAGTACTTCAACAAGCACATCTTCTCGCTGGAGCAGCACGAATACAACTCGGAAGGGCTGGAGTGGGTGGACATCGATTGGCAGGACAATGGAGAGTGCTTGGACTTAGTAGAGAGGGTTAGTACCCTGACTCATGCACTGATATTTGGGTTGAATTCTTTCAGGGATCATAGTGTTTGTGTCCTTGAGCAGGACTCTTTACTACAGTTGCCTCTCTGATGGAGAGTGCTTGGACTTTGTAGAGAGGGTTAGTACCCTGACTCGTGCACTGGTATTTGAGTTTGAAGAATGACGAAGATTATGGTGTTTGTGTCCTTAAGCAAGACACTTTACCACAATTGCCTCTCTCACCCAGAAGTGTAAATGGGTACCTGTGAGGGAAGAGTACGCTGCATGACATTCTGGATTGAAGCCTGGTTTGTGTACGGAAGATACAAAATTTCAGTGGATTATATTTTTCTTCTGGTAGAAACTTGGCATCCTGGCACTCATCAGTGAAGAAAGCCGGTTCCCGAAGGGCACGGACGAATCCATGCTGGAAAAGCTGCACAGCAACCACGCAGTAAGTATGAACCCAGCACGTTCCGTAAAACTCAATTTCCCAACCAAAGCACGCAAAGGCTCATTACTGATTCTATATTTGTTTTGGACTATTTTCTCTGTGGCAGAAAAATGCCTTCTACGTTAGGCCCAAGGTGGCGGACGGCCGGTTTGGGATCCGGCACTACGCCGGCGAGGTCTACTACAACACCAAGGGGTTCCTGGAGAAGAACCGAGACACGTTCAGGGATGACATCCTGACACTTCTCAAGGAAAGCAGGTATGAGTTTGTTGGGTCAGGTTGGTGTAGCCGTACTTAACTAGCCATCCACTTCCGTGGCCCAGGTTCAAATTCCTTTTGTGAGGTGTGATATCTCTTGCCATTTCTGAAATGATGGTCTCTTCACCAGCTTCAGCTTTGTAACTTGCCCCTGAGATGTTTTGCTGCACGCATTACTAGAACTAAATTGAAAGACTTCTCAATTTTTTTTGTGGAACTGTTGGATTTGGAGAAATATTATTTATTTGATCTGAGATTGACAATCGCCAGAATTTGAGCTGGAGTCGGAAGCTGATGCCACAGACAAATCTGAGGTATGAGGAATGCTAATGGATGGGGTCGTTAGTTCCCAGTTTACAAATCTGGTGGTTTTTTTTGCCATTGTAGGTCGGATTTCATCTATGACCTGTTTGAGACGATGCTGCAGTCCAAGAATCTTGGGGACGATAAGATGATGCGCAAGAAACCGACCGTCAGCTCCCAGTTCCAGGTAAAGATGAAATCATGCTTTGATCAGGAGAATCCAGAACTGTTTAGGGCTAAAGATGTCGGTAAAAAATCAGAGTGGTTTACTGCTCATATTAGCAAGAGTTTGCTTATCACATCCAGGCAAAACACTTCTGACGCTGGTGCGAGTATATGGCAGACTTGTATAACTCATGACTCGAGACTCGAATCAGACTCAGACTCAGTCAGAACTCTCACTTGTTGGACTTGGACTCAGTGTTTGCAATTCTCTGAATGATATAGGGCACCGATGCTCTCTTATGTAGAGACGTCTGCCCAAGAGTTAAAACATTTGTTTTCAATTCAACTCCCAATTCTTCGATTGGATTTTGCAAGTATCCGTAACGCAAGTGTTTATACTGAAAGTTTGATCCTTAGGTGTAATACTGCAAAATTTAATTGAATAGCACTTGGATTGGTTGTGGGGAAGGAAAAATTAGCTGTTTTTAATCTTGAAATACTGTATTATGTTTATTTCAGGAGTCGCTGCATTCGCTGATGTCCACACTAAATTCCTGCAACCCATACTTTGTACGCTGCGTGAAACCAAATGCACAAAAGGTAAGTTCCTGAGGCATTCAATCCAAACTCTAGTGGTTGAATTCAAGTAATATAAAAGATCATGCTTATGTTTTCAAAACAAAACGTTCAGTTAAAGATTGAACATTTAATATGGAAATGAACAAAAGCCAGATTTAAAACTAAACACTGTAGGAAAAAAAAATGCAAAATTAAACAAGCGGTAAGTTGAGGTTGATCCCAAGATACCGTGCTGAACCTCATAAAACCTTGAGGTAAACCGCGAGGTAAATCCTGAGGAAAATCGCCAGGTAAACCTCAAGGTAAAAGTCCAAGTTAACCTCAAGGCAAACCTCGGTGGTAAACCTCGGTGTTAAACCTCGGTGGTAAACCTTGGTGGTAAACCTCAGTGGTAAACCTCGGTGGTAAACCCTGAGGTAAACCTCGAGTTACGGCCTGTTTCACTTTGCATTGACCCCTTATATAGTTATATTGATAGGAAGTATCAAATACTGTGCCACCTATATAGATCAGTCATAGAAAGCAACAGATCGATTATTAAATTACCGAACTCGGCTTAGTTAATCACATCCTGTTTCCTCTCTGATTTTTCTCCGATTTCCCCCCGAAGGCATCAGCCCAGTTCGACGCCAACCTGGTGGTCAACCAGCTCCGCTACTCGGGCATGCTGGAGACCGTCAAGATCCGCAAGGCTGGCTTCCCCGTCCGTCGCCCCTTCCCCGACTTCATCAAACGCTACAAGGCCTTGGTCTACAAGGAGGACCAATCCCAGCCGGCCCGGCTCTGCGTCTCGCTGCTCTCCCGGCTGGACGACCGCAGACAGCTCTGGCAGATGGGCAAGACCAAAGTGTTCCTGAAGGAGACTCTCGAGACGCAGCTTGAGAAGGATCTGAACAGGGAGCTTGGGCTGCTGGCCAGCAAGATCAAGGCGTACATCAAGGGGTACTTGGCCAGGTGAGTTAGGAACACAAGGGGGGGGGGTGGATTCAATTTGTTTTCCAAATGGAGCAAATGCAAAAATTGCTGTAGGGTAATCTCCTGATTTGAAATGATTCTTAATAAGGGCAATTCCACGGAATTATAGACCTCAATGCCAAAAATTCAAAACAAAGATTAATTGCCACATATGAAACATCTTTATCATTGTGAAACTTATTATCTGCATTCTATTGTAATACGGGTTTTTTTTCTAACAATGTCCAACAGACAGTTCAGCTGTTACTTTTAACTGAAAAATTAATTAATAATCACACAAACAAATCATTTGTCCGAGTGCATCCAATATCGTGGTGTTTCGATTTCTACTATCACAAAAAAGTTGGATTAATAATTTGTTTTTGTGTCCATTGTAGTAACAAACTGATACGTTTTATCAGAATTGAAACCCACTTTATGATAACGAATTTTGTTATGCACACTGTTGAATTGTCTAAAATGTACGTCTGACACCATGGAACTGCCCATAAACAAACCAACCAAACCAAGAGTTCTCTCACATATTTTTTCAAAATATCAAGTGGTCACAATTTAGTGATATGATTCAAAGATGTTACTTCATCTTTTTGGGAGTTCTTGCAATTTTATGTGAAATTTGAAATTGCATCATAAATTTGAAATAATATTTTCTCCGTTACTAAACAGGAAGCGATTCAAGAGGATCGTTGCACAGATTGTCATCATACAGAAGACAATGCGGGTAAGTGTATTATAAAACCCCGTAAAGAAAAAGAATACATCTGAACAATATTCCAGTTTGAAATACCGATTCACTACCACCTCTGTGTTGAACCAAAATGCTCCAGACTTGTCTAACTTATAAAACGGGTCCAACAGGTTTTTGTTTTTCTTAATATTTTTGCTTAACTACAATTTGTATTTTCACCGATGCTTTCTCCTAGATGCAACACTGCCGCAGGAGGTACCTCAAAGTGCGCAGCGCGGTCATCGTCTTCCAAAAGTACGAGCGTGCCCGCGTGGCGCGCAAGGTCTTGGAATACCTGAAGGAGGAGAAACGGAAGGAGGAAGAGCGGCTGAGGGAAGAGCAGCGGCTGAGGGAGGAACAAGAGAGAAGGTAAGAGCCTTGTGCCCAAAGTAATGGAAGTAAGATTTGAGGCTTTGCATGGTGGAGATACTAAATAATGAAAGGTTTGCGGAAACACCATGTGCGAATAATTTCTCAACTAAGAGAATGGTTCTGAAAAGAACCATAATTATTGAAAGTAATGGAACTTGAATTTACTTAATACTCAGCTGCAAAGCACAGTTTTGCTGTTTACAGTGCTCTGTTGATTTTTGTGGTTCAGGAAAACATTAATATTTTATTTGCAAACATAACATTCAGTTATCATGATATAAACAAGAATTTCATCTTTATTTCTGAATGATGTGTGCATCCTCGTTAACGCAGAGAGCTGGAGAGACTGAAAGCCGAAGAGAAGATGCGAGAACTTGAAGAACTGAAGAAGAAGGTAAGGCCAAAAAAAAAAAGTCTCCGGTTTCTGGTATGCGCGCGCGTCGCCGTAGCCATGCGCGTCGGCAAAATGAATTTTTTTTTTTTTTAATTAAAGATGATGCCTCAAAACCGCCAAACTCACTGGTGTGACTGGAATTCTGCTGCTGCGCAATTTCAACGTGTTTTTAGATGGGGTTATGATCGAGAATAAGCCTTATGTGGCCTCTCTGGACTCCCATATATTTGCACTAAGTTTAGTCGGGCACCATTTGCAGTCATCAGCCTACATTTGAAGCAAAAAAGTCGGGTAAAAAAAAAAAAAAAGCCGCGTCGCCGCACCACTTTTTGGACAAGTTCCATACCAGAAACCGGAGACTTTTTTTTTTTGGCCTAAGAGACAATTTTCTGTGGCCATGAAATAAAATCTGAGGTTTATTGTTGATGCATATCCTGCAATAAACCAGTTCGATTTTCTGACTGCCTGTGTGCATTTAAAGATTTGTCAAATTTGTCAGGGTAGATAAGAAGGCGTCCAGCCCCTGGCAAGATATTATGTCCCTAGGCAAAGCACTTTGTACTTACTTGCCTCTCTCTAACCAGGGGTACAATTAGATACCAGCATTGCCACAAACTGATATTGATACAGATCAGTTTTGTGACTAATGACGAGAGAGCCTTGGGTTTGAATGCAGCTGCTGGCCATGGGTTGTGTCCCTGGGCAAGCCACTTCACCTTAACTTGCCTCTCTCCACCCAGGAGTACAAATGGTACCGGCATTAGCTGGGTGCAACCTTCACCGGATTGGTACCCCTCCAGGAGAAACATAAATATTCTCAGTTGTTTTTGAGACGGACTCTACATCGCTAAATCATGAATCAGTTTACATGTCTTCATTTCTGTTATCCCCTGCAATCGACAGATCGAGGAGGAGGCGCGTCAGAGGCAGGAAGAAGAGGAAGCCCAGCGCAGACTGGAGGAAGAGCAGCGTCAGGCCGACCTGGAGAAAGTCAGGCAGCTGGAGATTGCCAGGAAGCAAGAAGAGGAAGAAGCTAGAAGAAAGGTGAGGGTTTAGAAAAATGGACAGTGGGTGGATTTCTTTCCAAGTATTTCTTCCTCAAAATTTCCTGTAGAACACAGTAAATCTTGTTCAGCATGCCATCGAATTCCAGCCAGCCGTGGTGCTTTGATGATGTTGTCTCCCCCGACGCGAACAAAAACTAATCCAAAATAAGCCATCAGGAACACTGTAAGGGTCTTTCTCTGAAGCTATACAATGATTATAATATACCACATGTTCCCACGTGAAACGAGTACCATTCTTTTAAGCAATTACAATGTGTCCAGTCAATGTTCCTGTAAATAGGATTTTACTTTTAACCGATTACATGACAAGTCGGTTTCAAGTTTGGGTGACAAGAAACGGCGGATGTTCAATAACAGAGGTTGTTGAAGTTTATTTGAATATGTTTTTCACTGACTTGACTTGCAATATGACTTATGGTTAACTTGTCTGGAATGTTAGTCCTGCAACTACAGGATTTCCCGAAATTACTAAGTGGAACCATTTAGTTTTATTTCAAATTTCCTGCGAAAAACTTGGAGCCCACCGAGGGAAGAAAGCAACATTGAACAAGTGGTAACTCGGAGGTGAACCCGAGGTACCCTGTAATACTTTGTAAAAACCTTGAGGTTAAAATTACCTGCGAAAAAACTTGGAGCCCACCGAGGGAAGAAAGCAACATTGAGCAAGTGGTAACTCGGAGGTGAACCCAAGGTACCCTGTAATACCTCGTAAAAACCTTGAGGTTATAATTACCTGTGAAAAACTTAGAGCCCACCGAGGGAAGAAAGCAACATTGAGCAAGTGGTAACTCGGAGGTGAACCCGAGGTACCCTGTAATACCTCTTAAAAACCTTGAGGTTAAAATTACCTGCGAAAAAACTTGGAGCCCACCGAGGGAAGAAAGCAACATTGAACAAGTGGTAACTCGGAGGTGAACCCGAGGTACCCTGTAATACCTCGTAAAAACCTTGAGGTTAAAATTACCTGCGAAAAAACTTGTAGCCCATCGAGGGAAGAAAGCAACATTGAACAAGTGGTAACTCGGAGGTGAACCCGAGGTACCCTGTAATACCTTGTAAAAACCTCGAGGTTAACCTTGTGTTACTACCTGTTTAATGTTACATTTTCACCCCTGATGTCTCTGACTTGTAAAGAACTGATCACAGCTCTTCTCTTCTCCACCGTCAAGCGATCATACTCCTAGCCTCCAAAAATTAAAAAAACTAAACATACTTTATCCTCTGTGTCTGATCAGGCAGAGGAGCAGCGTCTAGCCTTGGAAGAGGAAGCCAGGAAGCTCGCCGAGGAGCAAGAGAAGCTGCGGATCGAGGAAGAGGAACGCCGTCTCCTGGAGGAGGTTGAGAGCCACCAGCAGGAACTGGACCGGCTCCGAGCCGAGCAGCTGGAACGCGCCGAGAGACAGATCATGCACGAGTTCGATCACTCCATCGCACAGGTATGTCAGCGATAGTTTTCCATCATTCCTAGATGGATCCATAAAAGCGTAAGAATGCTGGGGTTGGTTTGGGGCAGTACAGGGAGTAACAGGCAGGGTGGTTTGGGGCAGTACAGGGAGTAACAGGCAGGGTGGTTTGGGGCAGTACAGGGAGTAATAGGTTAAACTGGTCCGCGACTGGCTTAACTGAAGTTTGGGAACCAGAAAGTCATAAGGCATGGAAAATGTTCATGTGGCCCCCAAAAAAGTGCATTTTGTTTACTAGTGATGCGACTTCACTCTGTAGTCTGGACCCAAGAAGCTCCTTACATTGGTTAAATGTTCCTTGATAAGATAGCTTTTTGGTAGAGCTAGTCAAAAACGGAGTTTATTACTGTGGACAGAATTATGGCACTCATTGATTCGCTTGAATTATGCCAAACGTGAAACAGTGTTTTGTATCGGTTCTGTGTGAATGTGCACGTGATAGGTCGTTGATTCCCTGAAAAATCTATTTTTAAACATCCTTCCTACTCTATTGTTTGTCCTCTGCATAGTCAGTATGTGTAGTGTGTTTTTCCTTGTTGTGAGAGTGATTGAATTACACTTGAACCTCTCCTGAAATCCACCTTTGGTGTAACCCAGATGTAAACTCACTGGTGTACACGTACATTTAGCCCAACCCCTTCACCCCCCCCCTCTCAACCCCCCCCCCCCCTCTAAACTCCCTCAAACCCCTGCCCTCAACTCCCTCAATCCCCTCCTCCCCTTGACCCTACACCCTACCCACTACCCCCTACACCCTACCCCCTACCCCCTACCCCCTACTCCCTTCCCCCTACCCCTTCCCCCTACTCCCACCCCCTGCCCCCTACCCTCTACCCCTACCCCCCACCCGCTACCCACAACCCCCTACCTGCTACCCTCTACCCCCTACCCCCTACCCCAACCCTTTATCCCCTACCCCCTACCCCCACCCTCTATCCCCTACCCCCTATCCCCCACCCGCTATCCCCTTTCTCCTATCCCCTTCCCCCTACCCCCTACCCCCACCCACTACCCTCTCCCCTACCCCACTACATATTCCCCTCCCCTATTTTTTTCTTGTGTGATTTGTTCACCCCTGAAATTCGTTAACAAAACTAGTTGTTAATTTCATAGCTACATGTACATGTATCACAGCCTGCCCTACCCTTCCCCTTCCCCTACCCTTCCCCCTCCCCATCTGCCCGTGTGACTTGTCTTATGTCTGTGTCCTCTTTCTTCTGCCATCTCTGCTGCCTAGCTTGCAGCTCAGGAGTCACATGACTTTTACTCGGCTTTGGAACAGGTAAGTCGGGTTCTTAACACCTTCGTGTGTGTGTGTGCGTGTGACCTTTGACTTCTAACATTTTCAAAATTGCATTTATAATCATTTAAATATCATTGTTTCTGTTGCATTTTACTAATTTCTGTTTATTAACATTCAACATCTGTTTGATTTCACGTCGTTTTGACAAGACTTCACCTATTTTTAATTTCAATGTTATTTGGGGGGGAAAAAGTTTGTTTATTTGCAGTTTTAATGACTGTATTTATATACTTGTGTTTTTCTTACAATCAATTCCATCCTAAATGCATCTATCGTTTTAAATTCTTTTTCCAGCCAGCGGAATTAGATGTAAGCAGAAGATTAATAAATAATGATCATATTTATTTTTCGTTTTTTGGTATTTACATATACAGTGTAAATCTGTGCTCTTAATTGTCTTTCATAATTGTCTCTTTAATTGAATATTTGTGTTTTCAGTTAAAACATTTTTTTGCTTGCTTGACAACATATTGCTTGTATGCCATTTTTCAGTTTTGTGTCATTTTGATCTTCAAGAAGTGCTTGAATATTCTGATTGAAAATGTCCGTTTACATGTAAACAGTACAGAGCGATTCTTTTTAGTCAAGCTCTGTGACTTTTTCTGTTCTTTGCTCATTTCTTTGTTCTTTTCTGATCATTTTGCTGTCTGTGCAGCAGTATATTTTGCACAATGTTGTCCATTTATTTTGCCCAATTTACCGTTACACCTTTTTTCCAACGGTGATTCTCCCGTGCTGTAATATCCTGTTCAATGGCGGTTGGTTTTGGCGTATCTGCTAAACACAATTGCATTATCCGGTTCGTTGGTAAAAACGTCATACACGCGTGCGCACCACTGATAACTAGCGCCCATTGGATAAACGCTCAATGTGCATTAACTTCCGATTCCATTCCTGCTATGCTACACTGTATGAAGTACGCATGATTGAATTGAGATGACGCCACACTAACGAACCGGATAACTTGCACACAAGGAACTTGCTATCGGATTCCCCAATTTGCCGTGTGACCTATCTTCCACGTTTCTATAGTTCTCAGCTGATTTTGGTTAGGGAAGAATGCAAAATTAAACAAGGGGTAACCCCAGGTTTTACCCTGAAGTTACCACATAAAACCCTGTTCAATGCCAAACAACCTTTGAGGTAAACCTTAAGTTACCGCCTGTTGGAGTTTGCATTCTCTCCTTAAGCATATAAGGCATAAATCTGCTTAACAATATTTTGCACTCTGTGAAGTTTCATGAAGATGCTGAGCAGACAATATTGCTTAGGCTACATGTATGTCCGAATTACGTGGCTACGGCTTGAAATTACACACAGGTCCATGCGAAGTGGCTGCAGCCACGTCCTTAGCAAGTTTGCAATTCTCATCAAGAACAAGCAGATTACCAGTCGCAGGCACTAAGCACTGCATGACATTTTAGCCGGTGACCAGTTTTGTGCTTGGCAAGAATTTGTTTCGGCGCTTAGGGCAATTCTGTGCTTGGCAGTTCTTGGGAAGTTTACCTCCGAGCTTCATCCTTATTACTGCTAACCTCTTCTCTGTTCTGTCCTCCATCTAAGATTGACGACTCGGAAGAGGACGATGAGAACGCATCTAAGAAGTCCGATGACACTCACTACTTTGAAGGCTTCCTCCAGATGAAGACAGGTAAGGGAGAGAGGGCGGAGCTAATGAGTTTAGAAGGGGAGGGGCCCAGGAGGTGTCCTTGACTAATGGACGATAGGCTTAAAAAAAAAAACAATTTTGAGGACCTAACTTATATCTTGAGATGATGGAGGTGCATTTTTGAAGTTTGTATAATAATTCTCGGAAGACAATATTTTCATGTTTCAGAAATGTAATAGGCAGAATTGTAGAGTTGTAATTTGATAAGAACTTGGTTTACAGTCTAAGCTGAAATGCAAATGTGTCTTCAAAATTATTTGCAACATTTTATTTTATCTGCATCCAAAAGAGTAAGGCATATCATAAGATTATTTGATAATTAAAAATCATTTGAATCTGACCCTCGCAATATCAATTGGCATATAATTTGTTGGGTTTTTTTTTCGTGTGATTTACTCGTTTCTTTAGGAGGAATGGTGAACTCTTGGAAGAAGCGATGGTTTGTGTTGAGAGACGAGACGCTCATGTGGTTCAAGACCAAACAGGTAAACTCACCAGAGAAAAATAAGCGTTGAAAAAATGAATAAGAAACTAGAGATTGTTCAATTTACATCTATATTGTTTGACATACGGTATGTTTTCCACTGTACCAAAATGTATGCGGGTTGTATGTTTTCAATACTTTTTTCACTGGTTACCATTCAACAGGAGGCTCTCAAGTCTGGCTGGCTGATGAAGAAAGGAGGGGGAACTGGTACCCTGTCAAGGTGGGCAGTGATGCCTTTTTCATATTTAAGTTTGGTTGTTTTACATGATTTCAAATTTTGACAGCTATGTACATTCAAAGTTTAGTTTTTCATGTTATGTGGTTGAAATCTGTGTTCAGAAACTTCAATTCTCTAACTTGAGTTGGGTCAATTTTGTTTCAGACGAAACTGGAGAAAGCGCTTCTTTGTCCTGAAAGACACTAATTTATCGTACTACGAGTCCGACAGCAATAACGCCAAACTCCTGGGCAGGATTGATGTCAAGGCATCCAAGTAAGAACACAATTTTCCATTTTTCTCCTCAAACTTCCTGAAAGCTGGTTTTTTTGGGGGGGGGGTCTCCAGTATTTCAAACTTGTGGTGTATGAAAAAAGTTGGGTTAACCATTTCGCGTCCGAGGACGTAATACCACGCACTGGCTGTTTTTGTGCACAGCACGGCCGATGGGTTAAAATGTTAAGATGGCCTCAGCTCGCCTCGGGTGATGTCTAAACATGCTAATCCCTCGTGTCTTTTGTACACACACGCACAAAGTCTGTGGAGTCGGACTGTGTGTTGATCTTGAATTGGCCGTTGCTCCAGTTCACACCCCGGAGTATTGAAACATATGAGGTTTCGGCAAGAAATATCGTACAAATACTGTTGAAATGACTCTTGCGAATCAGTATTTGTGGCGTTTGGGTGTATATCAGAAGTTGGCTGGAAAATGTTGCGTTTTGCGAAAAACAAAGTTTTCAGCGAAAAAAAATCCCGGCGCAAAGTTGTTATTAAAGAAACCCAGACCAGCAGTTATTACGGTGAAAAGGTTCAAGTTTGACTGTTATGATTTTTTTTGCAGTGGTTGTAAGACAAATGTGGGGGGATGGTTGATCATGTCTTTCAAATCATTTTACTCTACTACACAGAAAAATAAGTGACAGCAGCTATGGTCGAGAAAATTCCATTGACGTTGAAACTGACGACAGGACGTACCACTTGGTGGCAGAGTCGGCTGATGACTGCAGGTATGGATTTTCATGAACTAGCTGGACTTTTTCTCCTAAGTGTGATAATAATAACGGAGATTTGTAATGCGTCATGTCTGTCACATCGTGACACTCCTGGTGCAGTAAATATCCCTCTTACTTTGCTGTCATCTGATAAAAGTCATAAAAGTTCTGTTCGAAAAATTCTAGACTTGAATCTTCAACAAAGCAATGAACCGAGTCATCTTCTTTAAGTAAATTTAAAAAAAAAAGAAGCTATTTCATCCAGAAAAGTGCCAACTTCCATATAAGGAGCAATGTGTTACGAATAGGAATGCACTGAGTTTGGGACACACCCCTAAAGAGTTCATCAAGATTCGTCTTGATGAAGAATGGATGTTGGTAATAAATCTAAATTTTGTTGATTTTTGTTGTTTAAGTGAGTGGTACAGCATCCTGACTCGGGTCAAGAACTCGCAGGACTTCGAGCTGAAGCTGATGCACGATGAGGAGGCTAACCCCAAGAATGCCATCGGGTCGCTGGACGTCGCCATCATCGACTCGGTGGTCCCCGTCAATATCACCGAGAAGTAAGTCATTTCTAACTTGGTCGTCGGTGCTGAAATATACCAAGTTGTCATTAAATCTGCATTAGTAATCACAATTGTTCAATCTCAAGCCAAGTCTCGATAACTTATGACTGGTCTCCCGGTTTCAAATGAGGTGAAAGGATCTGCAAACGGAATGTGACAAAGTCATTGTTCACCAACTCTTCCTTCTGATTTGATTTGTGTTTGACTTGATCGAAACCCCAAATATAGGAGCTGAGTTTGAGCTTAGAGTAATGTTTTATGTTTTCACAGCTAAGGTATCATAGGTATATATGAATGACTGAGCAGACTGCCATCAAATCTCACAGCATATCCTACCTAGTAGTGTTTTTGGGTTTTTTTCTCCAGGCCTAACTGTTTTGCCATTATCACAGCTGAGAGGGTCATCAACCTTCAGGGAGAGACTCCAGTCGGCATGAACAATTGGCTGGCAGGTAATAATTAAAAGAATTTTTTTTTTTTTCAAATTAAAAAAAAGTAATAAGTTAAACTTTAAAAGCTCAAACAAACATTAATAGAGCATACATTTTTAACAAATCTTAACACCCTGGAAAAATCATAAGAACAAAATTTGAAAAAATTTTAAGGACTAGGCTAGACATAAACTGGCTAGACATAAAACACTTGTTCATCAATTAGGACAAATATTGACGGGAAAAAAAAAGAGTCTTTAGAAAAACATTGAAACAAATCAATTGTCATTTAGTCCTTTACCCTAGATCGCAATGGTATGGATATGGACTTTTGCAAACCTAAGCACTGTTTGTGGCTATTCATCTTCAAATCCGCCTTCCCTCCCCCTTCTCCCCACCAATCACCAGCTCTGACCCAGTACCACAAGGGCAAGCGCACCCACAAGCAAGAGGACATCCTCCTGAGCGGCTGGCTGACCAAGGAGAGCGCCTCCACGGGCACCCTGGCCCGCGTCTCCACAGGCAGCCGCAAGAAGCGCTACTTTGTCCTGACCGCCAACTCGCTGGAGGTCTACCGCAGCGTGGAGCTGCAGCAGAAGATGGGCGCTATCGCCTTGAACAGCCTGTGCTCCGTCACGCTGCCCGACGAGAAGATATTCAAGGAAGAAGGTGGGCCTGGGGGAGGAGTTTCTTGTTATGGGTGGAGTTCTTATTTGTCATGGAGGGGGGGGAGTTTCTTTTTGTGGGTGGAGTCTTATTTGCCATGGTGAGGAGTTTCTCTTAGAGTGTGGATTTGAATTTGCCCTCAGGAGGAGCTTCTTTTTGTGGGAGGTGTTTAATCTGGCTATAGGGGAGGAGTTTGTGGGAGTAGGGTGGAGTCTAATTTGCCATGGGGGAGGAGTTTCTTTTAGTTGTAGGATTCCAATTTCCTTGGGAGGAGTTTCTTTTTGTCGTAGGAGTCTAACTACCTTGGGGGAGTTCCTCTTTGTGGGTGGAGTCAACTTTGCCCATAGAGAGGAGCTTGTGAGAGGAGGGTATAGTCTAATTTGGTCTGGCGGAAGAAATGTTTTTATGGGTGGAGTCATATTTCCTTGAGGGAGAGTTTTTTGGGGGTGGAGTATAACTTGCCTTCGGGAGGACATTTAAGAGGAATTTTTTTTTGATTGAGCCTAATTTGCCCTAGGGAATTGATATTTAAGGGGATTGGAAACATGAATCCTTCTATGACGTTTGTGCCAAATTACATAATGATATGAATGGTTCATAGCCTTTACAAATAATTAAAACATTTTCTAGCAAACTGTTCTATATAAATCAGCCTGTAGAATGTATGCTGTGTGTTTGCAGTTTCTCACAGGGATGACTTCTTCCTTGAGTCTTGAATTTTTGCATTGGAACAGAGAAGTGGCACTACTAACCACCATCGTATTCCTTACACCAAACCCCTCCCAAATCTTTCCAAAACCCCCACCCAATCCCCAGCCCACCTCCTTCCACCCTAAGCCCCAGTCCAAATCTATGCCCAGTCCAAATCTAAGCCCAGCCCAAGCCCAATTCAACCCAGCCCAGCCTCAACCCAGCCCAGCCTCAACCCATTCCATTTCAGCCCAGCCCATCCCAGCCCAGCCCAGCCCATCCCATCCCATCGCAGCGCAGCCCAACCTAGCGCAGCCCAGTCTACCCCAGCCCACCCAGCCCATCTCAAACCCAACCCAACTCGTCCAAGTCCAGCCTAGAGCAGCCCATCCCCACTACACCCCAACCCCACATGGGCACCTTGTCCAAGCCCCAGCCAATCTTGGCCGAGCCCATCCCAAGCCCAGCCCAGCCCAACCTGAGGCGAACCCACCCAAGCCTATAGCCCACCCAAGCCTATAGCCCACCCGTTCCTTTACCCATCTTTATACCTCAATTCAATACCACTCCTCCAAATACCCGATTGCAGATTCTTCATTGATTAAATGCACATTTAATCTTTGCACTGACTTGGGTGATGTGCACCAGTGTGTTCACCGGATACCATTTAACCAAATTTGCATATGATACTAAATTTGCATTTCTCCCATTCCTACCCGTTTTTTTTCCCTTTTGCCTGTTTCAAGCCTGCCCACCGCCCGTGTCCGCCCCGAGTTCCCCGAGCCATAAAAAGAGCCGTAAAAAGAGCCCCGTCCAATATATCAGTTTTCCCACCCAAACTAGCCCCACCCACAATGGCTCCACCCAAAGCCTCAACTTGAACTACCTCAATTTCAAAGCCAGCACTAATAGCCTGGTAGGAACGCTGATCCGCAATAAAAAGAAAAAACGCAGGGGTAAGATTGAAAGAATGTCGAATGCGTGTTGTCATTTTTGCACCGTGGATCTCTTGAATGTCGCACCGACAACATTCCGTTATGCCTGCATGATTAGTGAATGTCGTAGTCATGAATAAATTATCAGGATATGAATATGCATGATTTTGAGTGTGATATTTGAAATTGGAATGCATGTATGAGGGTTTTCTCATTTTAGAATGATGGTTCCTGCGATTATCATTTCTCTTTCTGAGGTTATGGTTCTTCAAGAGTTTTTAGCTGGTTCAGAATGACGATGTTATTCTTGGTGATTTGACGCTTGATTTGTTGCCTGTGATGATATGACTGTTTTTGTGAAGTGGACTTTTTTTTCAAGTGCTGTAATGTGTTCATATTTCAAAGTGATAATCGTTTTAGTATAAAGGAGTTTGATGTGGGCTCCTTGGCAGAATATTTCAAGAAGTAGAGAACATGAACTGATAATTTTTATTTTGGAAATCTTTCTCTGTTACATAAATGAAATACATGTCATTTTAAGGATTGTATAGCAATTTGTGACGATTTTTTTTTATTTTATTTTTTGATGTACATGTATTTATAAAGTCGTTTGCATGTTGATATCTCTATTCACAGGATCGAGCATTTAAATGTTTTTTTTTAAAGTATAGTTACATGAATATACACTACTACATACTACAAATCATTTCATGCATCAGTAATTTGTGTTTTATACTTTCAGTGCAAATTAATTGTCATATAAACAAAGAATAACTATATATACATGTAATAAATGCAACACAATTTGTTTTTGATTGCACATTAATATTCACGGTAATATTCTAATTACCATTTTTTTTAACTCCACCCCTTTTTTTGCACCCGTTGCCTTCCCAAAACCATTGCTCCTCATATTCTAGGTAGTCTGGGTAACATCTTATCAAATGGTGTCATGCCCATTGACACGCCCATCCAGTCCAATGGCGACAAGGCCACGCCCCCATCTAGCCCCGCCCAGTCCAACTCCAACACTTTGCGTAGACGTTCCAATAGTCTTGTTTCCACGCTTATGCGGTCTAGTAAGCGATTAAGTAGACTAGATCGCGAGGGTACGTATGCTGGCCGGGAAGCTCCGCCCCTAATGATCAACTAATGAATTATGCATGATGAGCCAGTTGATGCTAATTTGCATGCATAAACCCGCCTTCCCCTCTTGTCTCCAGTGGTATACTGATAAGCCGCATCCGATTAACTTGGCTATGACTGGAAATAACACACAGGTCTATGAGAGGTGGCTGCAGCCGCCTCCATAGGCGCATATGCAATTTTTAGTTGTAGCCAAGTTATTCTGACACAGCCATGTATTGCCTGGTGATGTCTAATTTATTATGCATGATAACTCCCTCGTTCAATGTCTGTTAATTAATCCTACATAATTTTGCTACCCAACATGCCCAACCTAATTATGATTTGCATATATGCGTAATACATGCATATTCATACAAACTAAAATTAGTATATCCTTGCTTGATTAATTTTAGGCGTAGCTTTTTCTCATGTTTGGTCTCAGTACAAAACAGTTTTACCTGCTTTATCCCTGAAAATAAGTAGCTTATCATTAGTTTGTATTCTCTTCTTTACTTGGTTTATTTACTTTTGGTCCGTGCATATTCCTTCCCAACCACACATAAACTAACTGCACTAACAATTACACTTCTTGCATGTAATCCTGAACCCATTTCAACCCCGCTTCAATATCTTTTAAAAACAAACATCCTTGAAAAAAAAAATCATGTTGTGTCTGTTTCTCCTGTCATTTTGTGTAGTCCCCAACGTTTAAGCTTTTAATATTTTCTCTCCTTTGATAATTTGTTTACCATTTATCTACGAGGACTCTCTTCTCCTATGTATTCCAAGCCTACGAAAGAGACTTTGTCAGATAGCATTTCAATTCTTTTCAAAACACAAGGGCACTGTTTTGAAACATCTGATCAGCCAGATGTTGAGTTCTTGTGGGTTTCATTTGGGGGAAGGTATAGAAAATGTATTCCTTAAAAAGTTGCATCAACTTCCCTTTTGGTGATTGTAATTTTCAAATGATAACCGTTTTGTAGGATACTGGAAGTTTGTGGTGCATGGGCGCAACTGTTCTTTCAATCTGTACACCGTGTCTTACGATGATGCCTGGAAGTGGACCTACGCCATCCAGGACGTCATCGACTGCAAACCCAAACTGGAGACGCCCTTCCAGATACTCATCAGGGAAATAAAGGTGAGAACTTGTACTCGGGTTGCATTTTTTAATAAGGTTGAACAAAGAAATTGCCTGGAGCGGGGTTTGAACTTTGGATCTTCGGATTACCGCATCAGAGCTCTTCCAACTGAGCTATCCAGCCTGATGTTGGTGGTCCCCCCCCCCAAAAAAAAGTTCTTCTTGATTTCCGTTTCAATATACCAAAATAAAACCAGATTTGATTTTTTTTAATTTGAGAAATAGGTGATAGCAGGCAATAATTAATAACGATTGAATGAGCCTCTGTACTGATGACGTCACACTTTGTTTACGTGTGCGCTTTTCTATGGGGTTACGAAACCGTCGTTCCCACAAGGCTCCCATAGGAAAGCACACATGTATAAACAGAGTGTGACATCATCAGTACAGATGCTTACTGATTAAGGTTTAACCCTAACCGCCCTGAATCCTTCAAAATCCTCTTTGCCAAAGTGGAGGAATTTGGAGGATTGAGGTTTCATGGCAAAAGTGCATACTGATTTCGTAGGATGCACTCTGTCAAGGTCTTGGGCCGGACATTGTGTTGGTTTTGCTCAGCCGTGCATAAATATAGGCCTGGATTATGCTTGAAATCCTCCATACTGCTCCAGGATGTCACTGGCCAAGCCTCAACATATTGACAGTCACTGCCGCAGGATTTTGCAGGATTCAGGCAGTGGTCAGCCCTCCACGGACCATTTTCAAGAAATAATGGAGGAATTTGCAGGATTGAGGCTATATATGCTATTTTTCCACGAGGCCAGTTGGAGGATTTTGCAGGATTGAGGCTACATCCTAGCAAAAAAGCCTAGGGAGTTAAGGTTAATAAGGAAATTAACATGAGTAGGAATTGAACTCGCAATCTCCCAAAGGCTTATCGGCACTCTAGGCTACATTAGCAGTCTGCCAGTTTTTTTTCGCTACTATGTTTCCCTTTGAATGTGCCAAAATAAAACCTTTGTGATGATTATATTTTTTCCCAGGAGTCGGCGATAGCTGGTGATCTGACGAGCATCGAGCGCATCTTCCGGTTGAATCCCATCCTGCGCAACACGCCCCACCCACTCAAGGCCCCCCTCCTGCCTCTACCCTACGGCATGATCGTCAGTTCCAGTAAGTCGGCAGCAATGACCGGTGTCAATTCACGGTTTACCTTTCTTATTATTCTTATTATTATTATTAATCATTTCTGGTAATGAAACCAAGGATTCCTCAAAAGCGCCCTTGGCACTGTAGCTCGCAAGCCTGAAGAAACCTGTGGAGAGAAGACAATGAGAAGAAGTTACAGTTTTAGAGGCGGGAGGAAAAGCCCAGAAGAATATTCTGGGGAAAACCCACGGAATCAGGTAGGGACTGAAAACCCAATCCACATATTGGCCCAGGCGGGATTCGAACCCGGGTCACAGCGGTGGAAGGCGGTGGAAAATACCGCTATGCCAACCCGACTCCCCAAGTTGATGAAAAAAAAAGTGACCTAAATATTGTGGCAACCAGGTTTTAAAAGTATTGGCATACCCTGGGTACAGAAATGAAAATGACTATTTTTCATCCCTGAAATTAACGGTCGACTCACTGACTGAGCGTCACTTGTGATTTAGCCTGGTTGTTGGCTGATGAAGAGAGTCGGGCAGTGCTATCATGTAGGATTTTTCCTAAAATGGGCCAAGTCCAGACCGTTGTGTACAGATGCATGAAAAGACCTCCAATGCATAGCCACTCTGAACTACTTGGGCCTGCTTCACAAGGCTTGTGTGTCTTGTTTTATCAAGAATCAACTGAATGATAAATTCTTCCCCCGGTTTTTTTGGCCTCATAGACCAAGAGAAGGGTTACACAACGCTCAACGACGAATCGGTGAAGGTCTTCAACTCCCTGCTTGGCTCGGAGAATCTCCCAGATCCCATGCCAGTCATCCAGGTAAATGCCTGCAGAACTAATCATAACCAGCCCTGGTTAACTAGTGAACAGTTTCGACTCAAGATATTAATCCTGGTTAATGGTACATGTGTTATTACTAGTAATCCAGTGACGGGTAGAGACTGTAAAGTGTAAGGAAAGCATTGTAATTTTCGATATATCTGTAGATAATTGACGTATACTTGGTAATAATCTTTACAGTTATTGTTCTTATCAGGTTAATATATTGAACTGAGTTAAATCGGGTTATAATATATTACAAACAGTGTTAGTTTCACTTGTTGTTAAATTTGATCAGCAGTTTTTATCACCATCACCAGATTTTATTGGAATATTTACCTGTGACAGGAACCTTAAATCCATTGCCATTTTTAACCAGGAAGCATTTTTAATCCTCCAAATCTTCCAGAACCGAGCACAGTTAATTGCAAACAGTGGTTTGATTCTTCGTATTCCTGCAAAATGCTGCAAAAATTGTCCTGGTGGATTTTTGACGGATCTTTGAGAGTAACATGGTGAACCAATATTTTAACTTGTGAAAGAAATGCTGTGTAAAGAAGCCAACAAGGAGTACAATTTGTCCTGTTTTGTTTTTCTTTGAACATCAGGGCATCTTGCAGACGTGTCACGATCTGAAGCCCCTGCGGGACGAGGTTTACTGTCAGATCATCAAGCAGACAACCGGGGTACCAGACCCGGACAGCCTGGGCAACCTACGCAACTGGCAGATCCTGGCCTGTCTGTGCAGCAGCTTCCTACCCAGTAGGAACATCCTCAGATACACACGCTTCCACATGAAAAGGTAGGTAACTGGCAGATCCTGGCCTGTCTGTGCAGCAGCTTCCTGCCCAGTAGGAACATCCTCAGATACACACGCTTCCACATGAAAAGGTAGGTAACTGGCAGATCCTGGCCTGTCTGTGCAGCAGCTTCCTACCCAGTAGGAACATCCTCAGATACACACGCTTCCACATGAAAAGGTAGGTAACTGGCAGATCCTGGCCTGTCTGTGCAGCAGCTTCCTGCCCAGTAGGAACATCCTCAGATACACACGCTTCCACATGAAAAGGTAGGTAACTGGCAGATCCTGGCCTGTCTGTGCAGCAGCTTCCTGCCCAGTAGGAACATCCTCAGATACACACGCTTCCACATGAAAAGGTAGGTAACTGGCAGATCCTGGCCTGTCTGTGCAGCAGCTTCCTGCCCAGTAGGAACATCCTCAGATACACACGCTTCCACATGAAAAGGTAGGTAACTGGCAGATCCTGGCCTGTCTGTGCAGCAGCTTCCTGCCCAGTAGGAACATCCTCAGATATACACGCTTCCACATGAAAAGGTAGGTAACTGGCAGATCCTGGCCTGTCTGTGCAACAGCTTCCTACCCAGTAGGAACATCCTCAGATATACACGCTTCCACATGAAAAGGTAGGTAACTGGCAGATCCTGGCCTGTCTGTGCAGCAGCTTCCTACCCAGTAGGAACATCCTCAGATACACACGCTTCCACATGAAAAGGTAGATGGGCAGGAAAAGGATTGTTAGCGCCTATTGGATAAACACTCAAGTTGCGTTAGCTTCCAATAGTTCCAATGCTACTTAATGGGCAGTGGGCATGGTTTAGACTGAACTGACGTCACACTTACAAACGGGTTTGTGATCGGGTCTCATGCATATTCAGTTTTAGAACCAAGGTATCATGCATATTCATATTATTGAAAGTAAGCTTGATGGTGATTTTTTCCGTGTAGGCAAATTGAGTTGTACCCTGACACCCAGACAGCCCGCTATGCAGAGTTTGCCATCGAGGCTCTGAAGAGGACCAGGTCAAGGGACTTTGCCCCCTCCAGGTCAGAGGTCATTGCCATCCTGGTGAGTCCATTCAACATTTCCTAAAACTCTACTTCACTTGAGCTTTGGCTTCATCCCAGTCTCAAGAATTGTTTTAGAATCATGTAAAAGGTTCCCAGCCATTTTGGGAAACAAAAAAAATCAGGGAAAACTTGAGGAATTTGACGGTGACCCAGAAGGGAAAGGTTTTCGCCAGTTTGGCATTTGCGCGTCTTGTGCCATGTGTCCAACTTGTGTCCATTGACTTAGGCCAGCCCTCAAATTAGAATTCCTCCCCAGACGATTTGGGGTTGAGCCCACCCAGTATGTCCAAGGGATTGGGACTTTGGATGGAACCGATCGAGCCTGGATTAAACCCACCAGGCTTCTGCACCGTGCTCTGGCTCATCACAAAGGAACCACTTGTCAGGAAGTTGCCTGTGTATCATCAGTAAATCAGTAGCTCTACTCCAACCACCTCTTGTCTTCCAAGCAACCTCGTTTTTAAAGGCAATGAAAGGAAAAGTTTTGTTTTCATAAAGCGCTGGGAAGCCTGCTTGAATGACCAACCATTAATTATTATGCTTACTGTTGATTTGACTGTTTGAAGGGTCGACGCGAGATGAGCGCTACGGTTTTCTGTCATGGAGAGGGCTCCTGCCAGATCAACATCAACTCGGCTACAACGGCTGGACAGGTTAGTTGCTATTCATTCGATGGAAAAAAATCTACCAGCTTGAGTCGTGTCATTTATCACAGTCTTATGAGAATTCCCTGTTGTGATCAACGTGTTTTGTTTTCTGCGTCCAGGTGGTCCACACGCTGGTCAAGGGCATGGGTTTGGATAAGTGCCACAACCGCTTTGCCCTGTACGAGCGCAGCGGCCACGTGGAGAAGGCCATCGAGGACCGGACAGTCATCGCCGACGTCATCGCCAAGTTTGAGCGCTACAAGGCCCGGGGGCTGAGTGACCGCGGCAAGCCCTGGCAGCTCTTCTTCAAGCTCTTCTGCTTCCTGGACACCAAGGATGTGGCCCAGGGAAGCATCGAGTACAGCTTCATGTATGAGGAGGTAAGCGGGAATGAGACAATTTTTGTGCAGCAACTCCAGATAATCGCAATTTGGTCTCGACCTTCACAGGTACCCATTTATACTCCTGGGTGGAGGGAGGCAATCGTAGTAAAGTATCTTGCCCAAGAACACAAGCACCATCTTTCCCGCCAGGCTTTGAACCCATGTTACACGGCATGTGACCACAGCGCCCCACAAAATTTACACCGTCCGTAGCCAGGCCTGCCAGAGTCATGCTCAACCAAAATATTGTTAGAGCAACTCAGGGCGACCCTAGTAGAATTGGGAGCTAACAACTTCCAACGTTTTTTCTCTCCTAGGCCTGTGAGGATGTCATTCGTGGCTTCTTCCCCACGACTCCAGAGAAGCTGGTCTACCTGGCCGCCTTGCGCACCCAGTTCATTCGGGGAGACTACGTGCAGAACGACTGGATGTAAGAATCTCTTATATTTCTCCCTCGGTTTACAGTTTACTACAGTGTATTTTATCCTTGATAAAATCACAAAACCATACAGGGATCAGGCAGCTTTGGCTGGTGTAGGTAGGAGTTACAGGCAAGGCGTTTTGGGGCGGTACAGGGATACATGGGTTATGAAAACTCCACGTGGATTGTAGGTATTTTTCTTCCGTCCTTGGTTTAAATCAATGCGTTCAATCCATGAATAACTAGGAATTTATTCATCTCATCACTGCAACATTGGGTATGTTTTTTGTGTGTGTTATCAATGGAAGGGTTTGCCAAATAAATATTGGTCCTTCTTAACCAACCCCTTCCAAAAGAAAAGAAGGAATTCAAATGTGATCATTATTGTGGATATTTGTACTTTCAGACGTGACTTGAGTGAAGCCTACCCAATCGACAAGCTCAAGAGCCAGCCAAAGAAGGAAGAGATAGACCACGCCGGGTTCCCCATGAAACAACGCAAAGAGAACATCATCTCTGTAAGTCAGTCTACTTCAGGAACTTGTCCACATGGGACTAGAACCTTCCTTTTCAGTTCTAGAACCGGTCTTTACATTTTTGGAACCTGTCCTGTCAGATGTGGAACTTAGCCACTCAGATATGGAACTTAGCCACTCGCATCTAGACCTTACCTGCTCAGGTCCAGAAGTTGTCCATTAAGTTCTCAAATCTGTCCAATTATTTCCAGAACCAGGCCTCTTAGATCTGGAACCTCTTCACTCAGATCTGGAACCTCTCCACTCAGATCTGGAACCGACCACCTTGGATCTAGAACTTATCTACTCAGAACAAGAAGTTGTCCATTCAGGTCCATAAATTGCCCATTTAGGAGTTCTGGAACGTGTCCAATCAGTTCTAGAACCTGGCTTCTTAGAAATGGAACCTCTCCACTCAGATCTGGAACGTACCTCTCAAACATTCCTCCAAAACATACCTCCAAAACATACCTCCAGGCCAAAAAACTTGAAACTGATTATTAGAAAGAAAAAATATAGATTACTCCACTCCCTAAGACACTTCGTTCTCTTTATAAAGGGAACCCTGAGGGGCCTCGGTGAAAAGACTCTGAAGAAATTGCAGAAGTCGGCGTCAGATGACTCCATCCTGGATTCGGTGTACGCAGATGACATCTCAGCCACAACCACGCTGGTCATTGAGAAGTGGAAGACCCTCAAGGTACAAAATGAGCTCTGGAAGCAAATTCTGGAAAGAACTAGCAGTGTGACAGAAATGTTGCATCTTGTAAACAAACTGGATTGTTGATGAGTTTGTTAATTTTTTCCCCTTCAGGGTATGAGTCCCGAGAAAGCCCAGGAGTCCTACATGAGCGTCATTCAACAATGGAAGTACTACGGAGCGCGTCTCTTCGAGGTGGAGAGCACCGACGGCCGATTCCCGCCCAACCTGTGGCTAGCTGTCAGCGCTAGCATGGTGGCCATCCACAAACAGGGAGAGCCCAATCCCATCGAGGAGGTCACCTATGAAAAGTGAGTGGCTACCAGGCTAGGTTGTTTGGCTTTTGGATTGGATAGTTGGCTGCAGGTGGGATGTGTGGTAGACTTTCCAGCTTCGCATACAAACGGACTTATTTTTCATCTGTCTTGATTTATCTTTCAGGATCCTGTCTTTCGGAGCGCCTATCCCCAACGAGTACAAGATTGTGGTGGAAGGCAGACGGCATGAGCTCTCCTTTGAAACCAATCAGGTACTGAATTTGATTTCTGAATTTTATAAAACATTGCTTCAGTTTGCCTGAATCTACCCCTCCCTAAAAAAGTCTGTCTTCTGTATCCATCTGCATGTACATTCTGTCCCTATTTGGAAGTCTTCAATTTTTTGTCCTTGAGCAGGTAATTGCATGTATTTCTGTCATGTGAAGAGTGAGATTGTTAATGGCATGTGATTGACCTGATTATTGACATTTTGATAGACACATGATGGACATGTAGCTGGAATGTAAAATGACACGTACCTGTCTTGTGATGTACATGTGACATACATGTGATGTGATATGATGTACATGTGATGCATATGTGTACATGTTATTTACATGTGATGCATATGTGTACATGTTATTTACATGTGATGCACATGTGATGCACATGTGATGCACATGTGATACACACGTGATGTACATGTGATGCACATGTGGTGCACATGTGGTGCACATGTGGTGCACATGTGGTGCACATGTGGTGCACATGTGATGCACATGTGATGCAATGTAATTGACATATGATGTCTTGTAACTAACATGTGATTGCCTCTTTGCTGCTTCCCCAGGTCTTTGAGATTGCCAAGTTGATGAAGGCCTACATCAACGAGATCGTGAGGAAACGGCAGAGCTTGGTGAGCATTAACAACGGCAGTATACCGCACAAGACCAACGGCAACATGACAGACTCGGCAGTAAATGAAACATATTTTTGATGAAACTGTAATAAATCTGCTTGTAATAAAATACTATAACGACAATATTTCAAAACCCTGCAGTATAGAATTTGTATATTGATTGAAACATATATATCGAACATAACAAAGGCTGTACGTGAAACTTGATGGAAACGTTCAGATCTTTTTCAAGTTTGTTTGCTTTTAGAGTATTATTTTATGTGGGAAACGGTGAATTAATTTTTTTATTTGTTGGGTCGCTTCTGCGCTTCTTGAATTTAAGAGTGTTACCATGGTGTAGTGACATTTAATTTTATTTTTAACACCCTGTATTTTGACATGCATCAACGATTGGAAATTATTTGCAGCATTTTTCCCTTCGCTCAGGGAACCATTTTTTAGTGTTGTCATTTGTGATGCTTAAGGATGCATTGTTAACTTTGTATAAAACCGAAACCATGTGCCATCGTACTTAAGCATATGAGTGATACGATCCCTTTTTTTTGTTAAGACACAATATTTATTATTAAGTTTTTCACAATGTGGTCCAAGTGTAAAAGAAGTGATGTGGAAATGTCTTAAATGGAAAAGCTTTTTTTTCCTTTTACATGTAATTATACTAATCGTGTACACACGGAATTCTTTGTAATTTACTCCCAAAAAGAGAAATAATTACTAATGAAGAAAAATGTGAAGAATTTGGGGAAGCGTTTTTCTAATTAACTAATCCACAGCAGATAAGATTTCATGATGAGATTTTATTAAGTTCACATGCTGAAATGTTTAAAATAATTTCTCAAGTTGTCATTTCAGTTTTTTGACACTTTTTCATCTTTTTTTTTAACGCCCTGCCTGCTAAGCTAGAGAGGTATACGATTTATGCGTGTGTCACAAATGTGTGTTCATTACGAGGCTTACCGACATTTTCTTGATAATGTACAGCATTCCACCAAATCTAAATGGCTGTCCAGAAAATCCAAACAAACAAGCAAACAGCATTTTATTATTAATTGGCAGGCATTTATTAGTGTTTATTACTGTACATTTTTTCAGGGTTTTTTTTTTTAGGGGGGGGGGAGCTTTCTGAATTTTCAAGCACATTTTATTTTTTTGGTAAATTTAATTCATTTTTGTTACCCGAGTGTACAAATTTTCCATTTCTAAGTCCGATTCAGACTAAAAGTACTTGAAAATGTATATTTGTACAATGTTCTCAGTTCATGCTTCCTCTTGCTTTCCTGGTGTCATTGAAAAAACAAAACAAAATTTCCATGATGCCTTGCATTCTGTGTTTACTGGTGCTATTATGTCAGTTCTGTATTAAACATTTTTTCGTTTAAAAATGCTGTAGATCAGAGGAGAAATCTATTACGTCACTGCTTTGCTGTGCACAGCGGATCATGTTCAGTAGAGTAATTGTAGTTCAAAAATGAAAAATCATGAAGAAAATATTTCTATTTTCAGTTCAAGTTTGGCAGGGTTCTAGATGTATTTTAAAGCCCTATGTAATTAGATGTCAATTATCGATGGATAAAGTTGTTAAGCTGAAAGACTTTGGGGAAGTGAATTTATGTGAACATTGTCATAACTAGAATTGTGCGCAATTATGCTGTGACAAATAAAATTAGATGTGTGTACATGCATAATGCACGGCAAAAAGCTGTAAATAATGTTATATTTTGCTTATTGATCAAAAAGAGGATTCATCATTGGTTAAAGACTTCAATCTTTTGAATGTTTATCTCAGGTACACATTTTTTTTCGGGGGGGGGGGGGGGAGGCGGATGGGGCAAGTACCATTTTGTAGTCTTTCCTTTTTTGTATTTAATTTCTTTCTGTATAGATACTGTATTAACCACTTGATGCAATATACCATAAGAAATGTACTGTAACAAAAAATGTACAAATATTACCTGGTTTGCTACTAATAAAAAGAACAACTCTTTTGAAAGAAATACTGGCATCCTGGTCCTTTTTTCCCCCTCATTTACATATGATGAATATTTATGACATGGTAATATACCAGGTGCTCATGGGTAATTTTTAATTTTTTTTGACATAGGTTAACCTAAGGTTTATATATAACGTCCGAACGAAATTCTTCAAGAGCCAGTTGGCTCAGTAGGATGCGCCCAGGATCCGAACCGGGAGGTCCCCGGTTCAGGTCCTGGGCGGTCCTGAGGAGCTTTTAGACTTTTTTTAAAATATATACTAAGTTTTCTGACAAAATTGTGCATGGGTGGGACTTGAACCGGGAACCCTTGGGTATGTAGCCTTACACTCTTACCACTACACCACTGGGTTTTTCTTAAAAAAGTATGGATTCCGGTAATTAAAACCCTTAGGATGTTCTGACTTAGTCTCCAGAGAGAGTTGGAAGCTGAGGGGTAGAAGCTTTGGACTTAGGTTTTCTGCTGATCGACTGGCTTGGGAATTTATTAGCTGGATGGTTGATACTTATACTTTAATACTTATACTTTATACTTAATACTTAAATATTTTATCAGTCATGTTTTGAGGGAAGTATAAGCTTGTACTAAGATTTGCTGGAAATTGAGTTATTTACTAAATTAAATGCATTTCTTTTAAAGTGAATTTCTTGATAATGAATAAATTTAATAACGGGCACATAAAGACAAGAGTGTCACACTGCAAACATATTCAACTTGCCATTTCATGGTTTTGAAATTTATTCCTGAATTTTGATACAAAATTGCAGTACAAAATATACATCGAATTTACAATGCGTAACAATGTAATGTTTATACAATGAGTGTTAACTCTTAAAAAGTTTTACCATAATACAGCAAATGAAAAGCACTTTCTCTGAAATATTAACCAGATATAGAGTACATTTGAAAGAAATTTTACAACTGTTATTGATAAAAAATAGCTCTCTTCACATCCTATTTGTTAGGGCGAATAATTATAAATTAACATTCACCAACAGACTTTGAAAATATGAAATTTACGTAAAATACCCCTTTTAATCTAGGTTTTTTATTTTTAAAAGCAACCCCTACATGTAGTCATATATTGGACTTTTTCTTTGTTTTTGAGCTGGGTGTAGAAAACCGCTTAATTATATTTTATATAGAGTGGAAACTTGATTAAAACAACGATTAATTTTGGTTCAAAAAAATGATAAAATTTTGATTTCTCGAAAATTTAACAAAAATTATTTCTGGGTCTTAAAACATACTATCAAAGTTCAATAGTTGTTAATTGTGCAGAAAAAACACCATTTCTAAAAGATTCTCGGAATTGTCAGTTTGCATCAATTTTTAGTGAAACATTGAAGGTTAACCTTTTGACCCACTTATAATAAAAATCCACTAGGTGTAGCCTAAAATATATGTCAAACTATATTCAAACTACATATATATTTTGGGGCTCACAATGCGTCTTTGGAGTATATTTCAAATAACGAAAAGTTTTGACCCAATTTCAATAAAAATGCAAGGTTAACCCCTTACCATTTTGATAAAATAATTTTGGCTCAGAAATAACCAAATTGTGAATTTCTTGCAAACTTTTAAAAATTGCTTCTGGGAACTTAGAATAACAAGTGATGCTTAAAAATGTCAAATATATTTATTTGGCTCAAAATGCATTTTGGGAGAATGTGGAAAAAAAATAAAATTTTGAACCAATTTTAATACAAATGCAAGGTTAACCCCTTACCATTTTGATAAAATAATTTTGGCTCAGACATTACCCAAATTGTGAATTTCTTGCAAACTTTTAAAAATTCCTTTTGGGACCTTGAGAATAAAAAGTGATGCTTAAAAATGACAAATATATTAATTTGGCTCAAAATGCATTTTGGGAGAATGTGGAGAAAAATAAAATTTTGACTCGATTTTAATAAAAATGCAAGGTTAACCCCTTACCATTTTGATTAAATAATTTTGGCTCAGAAATAACCAAATTGTGAATTTCTTGCAAACTTTAAAAAATTGCTTCTGGGACCTTAGAAATGTCGATTATATTCATTTGGCTTAAAATGCATTTTGGGAGAATTTGGAGAAAAATAAAATTTTGACTCGATTTTAATGAAAATGCAAGGCTAACCCCTTACCATTTTGATAAAATAATTTTGGCTCAGAAATGACCAAATTGTGAATTTTTTGCAAACTTTTAAAAATTGCTTCTGGGACCTTGAGAATAAAAAGTGATGCTTAAAAATGACAAATATATTAATTTGGCTCAAAATGCATTTTGGGAGAATGTGGAGAAAAATAAAATTTTGACTCGATTTTAATAAAAATGCAAGGTTAACCCCTTACCATTTTGATTAAATAATTTTGGCTCAGAAATAACCAAATTGTGAATTTCTTGCAAACTTTAAAAAATTGCTTCTGGGACCTTAGAAATGTTGATTATATTCATTTGGCTTAAAATGCATTTTGGGAGAATTTGGAGAAAAATAAAATTTTGACTCGATTTTAATAAAAATGCAAGGTTAACCCCTTACCATTTTGATTAAATAATTTTGGCTCAGAAATAACCAAATTGTGAATTTCTTGCAAACTTTAAAAAATTGCTTCTGGGACCTTAGAAATGTCGATTATATTCATTTGGCTTAAAATGCATTTTGGGAGAATTTGGAGAAAAATAAAATTTTGACTCGATTTTAATGAAAATGCAAGGCTAACCCCTTACCATTTTGATAAAATAATTTTGGCTCAGAAATGACCAAATTGTGATTTTTTTGCAAACTTTTAAAAATTGCTTCTGGGACCTTAGAATAACGAGTGATGCTTAAAAATGTCAAATATATTAATTTGGCTCAAAACGCATTTTGGGAGAATTTGGAGAAAAATAAAATTTTGAACCAATTCTAATAAAAATGCAAGGCTAACCCCTTACCATTTTGATAAATAATTTTGGGCTCAGAAATAACCAAATTGTGAATTTCTTGCAAACTTTCAAAAATTGCTTCTGGGACCTTAGCCTAACAAGTAATGCTTAAAAATGTAAAATATTAAAAAATATTATAATAATGTAAAAAAAAATTTGGCTCAAAATGCATTTAGGGAGAATGTGGAAAAAAATAAAATTTTGAACAAATTTTAATAAAAATGCAAGGTTAACCCCCTCCATTTAAATTTTGGCTGAAAAAATGAGGTTTTTATTATATAACTATAAAATGGAACAAAAACCTATATGGGTCCTCAATTTTGGCCAAGTTTTAATATAAATATTCAATATTAAACCCTCACCATTTCAGACATTTGTTTGCTCAAATATATCAAAATTCTGATTTGCTTGAAAATAAAAATATGCTTTGTGTTCAAAGGACCAAAATTGAAGCTTATAAAATGCCAAAATGTACTTAGTATGGCTCCAACTGCATGTTGGGACAATTTGGAAAAAGGTCAAATTTTGACTCGATTTTAATAAAAATGCAAGGCTAACCCCTTACCATTTTGATAAAATAATTTTGGCTCAGAAATAACCAAATTGTGAATTTCTTGCAAACTTTTAAAAATTGCTTCTGGGACCTTAGCCTAACAAGTGATGCTTAAAAATGTCAAATATATTTATTTGGCTCAAAATACATTTTGGGAGAATTTGGAAAAAAATAAAATTTTGAACCAATTTTATTAAAAATGCAAGGTTAACCCCTTACCATTTTGATAAAATGATTTTGGCTCAGAAATGACCAAATTGTGAATTTCTTGCAAACTCTTAAAAAATTGCTTCTTGGACCTTAGAATAACAAGTGATGTTTAAAAATGTCAAATATATTCATTTGGCTCAAAATGCATTTTGGGAGAAATAGGAGAAAAATAAAATTTTAAACCGATTTTAATAAAAATGCAAGGTTAACCCCTTCCTATTTAAATTTTGGCTGAAAAAAGAGGTTTTTATTATATATCTATAAAATGGAGAAAACCTATATGGGCCCTCAATTTTGGCCAAATTTTAATGTAAAAAATTCAAGATTAACCCCGCACCATTTCAAGCTTATAAAATGCCAAAATATACTTAGTTTGTCTCCAACTGCATTTTGGGAAATTTGGAAAAAGGTCAAAATTTGACTCGGTTTTAATAAAAATGCAAGGTTAACCCCTTACCGTTTTGATAAATTTTGGCTCAAAAATGACACAATTTGAATTTGCTTGAAAAAAACCACAAAAGATACTTCTGGGTCTATAGAATAACAAGTGAAGCTTAAATGATGTCAAACATTTTTTTTTGGGGGGGGGGGGCCCGGGGGTGTCAAAATGTGCCGGGAGGATTAAGAGGATTTGGAGAAAGGTCAAATTCTGACAAAATACTGATTAAAAAATATGCAAGGTTTACCCCTTAACTTTTTAAGAAATTTTGGCTCAAAAATTATGAAATTTTGATTTACTGAAAAAGGGTTTTTTGGGGTCCACATGGAGTAAAAACTGAAATTTTAAAAACCTATAAACTGATAAATGACTTTATTTTTGCAAAAAATCATTTTTGGAGAAACGTTTTTGCAAAATTTTGAATAAAAATATCAGGTTAACTAACATCTTAAAGAATCTTAATGAATTTTAATGAATTTTGGCACTTTAAATGACAAATACTTTGGATTCGTCAATAGGCTTCAATTTATCTTAATGGTGGCTGACACAAGATCAACATTGCACTTGGTTATACAAGGCCAAGAAAAAAATTATTGTGTTTCCTATTACATTGTACATTGAAAAAATGGTAGGGGTTGGGGTTGGGAGGAAGTTTTTTTATTTTATTTTTTGGCTTTTAACTTTTTATAGCCAGACAAAAGGGATGGGATAACAGCCGACTGATTTTCTTAATTAAATATTTCTTTAATACAGTTTACATGTTAATCAACTGTGCATTCTGTATCTGCTGTGCTGTTTATATGCTTAGATGCTGGGTATGGCAAAACTGCACATTGACTAACTTACAAATAAATGAAATTAAAATTTCATCAAAAGCAGGACGATGTCCAGAAAAGTAGGGCAGGGGGGGGGGGGGGGCACCACAAGTCTTTTATACATTTTGTAAAAAAATTTTTAGAGCAACAAAAATTTAATTTCTGCTTGGTTTTCTAAACCAGGTGGGGTAGTAAGAAGCACATTTTATTTTTCTTGGCCTAAAAGAATTTTATAACAAAAATTAAGAACAGTTTATAAAATTCTCTTCTCACTTTTCTTTTCACCGCAAAAATAAATTAAATAAAAAATAACACAATAAATACATAAATAGATTTATAAAAAAACCCAGTGTACCACAACAATGGATCAGCAGCTACAAAGTGGTGTCAGTTGCATGCTGTCACATGATCAGGTGACAGATATGATCAGGTGACAGACAAGGTCAGGTGACAGACAAACCTCGCATCCATTGTTCAATTCATTTCTTACCAGATCCCTGAAATGTGGATGCAGTTTTCAGCTAATCCACTGACATGTTGTAATTTCTGGCCAGCAGCTTGATCTGTGAAAAAAAAATAATCAAAAACTTAATTTAGTCGGTACAGCCAAGTTATTGTCAATCTCCTACTTCAAGCAAGATAGAACAGAGGAACAATGGAACAACAATGTCCAGGCCATGAGTGTTCACAGGTATTTTCAAATAACTTGGGACTAAGGAGGATCTATAATATACAGTCAAACATCTTTATAACAAGGTCCTTGGGACTTCACAAATTACCTTGTTATAACAGGTACCTTGTATTAACAGTAATGGAAAACAAAGAAAAACAAAGACTTGGGACCTAAAAGTCTGCTTGTTATAAGCAGGTCCTTGTACTAACAGTGCTCTTCTTATCAGGGTTCAACTGTACTATAAAATAACTGTCTCTACGTTCATCTTTGATTGGCTCATTTTAATCTCATCATATGGGCAATTCCACGGTAACTCACGTTACATTTTTAACGTAATTTTGAGTTTCCTTGGGCTGTAATTACCTTACTGAAAAGGTTTAATAACTGTTATCCCCATGGTAGATAGAGTAGACCTAGACCTAAGCACCAAAGATGACATCCAGAAAAATGTGTTACATACGAAATTGGTTACTCACGTTACGAAAATGTAACGTGAGTAACTGTGGAATTGCCCATATCACCTTATTCAATGTTAACACCCCCTCACACACACCCACTGATGACCAATGAGGTGAATCCAGGAGGATCTATAAGCCTGCCTATCGGGGGTAATAATATTACATAACAGTCTTGTTTTGATTTGCTCTCACCTTTTCCTTGGACCTCTCCAGCCCCCTCAGCATGTCTCGCACCATGGTGAGCCGGTCCCCGTGTTCTCGCTTGTCCTCCTCCAGCTCTTGGCACTGCTGCTCGTACTCCCTCCGGTGGCCGTCCAGGGCCGCGATCCGCTCTTCTATCTTCTGCACCTCCCCCCTCAGCCGGTCCTGCTCGCTCGTGATGTTGGCGATTTGTTTCTAGGGTGCAAAAGACCACAAAAGAAACGGTCAATAACGAGCTCTGCTTTGACAAGGTCGGTGAAAGGTTATGGTTAACTTCAAACTAGAGACTGGTAGTACTGTTGATGAAACCCTTCCAAACTGGAATAATATTTGAAAAAATTTTGGCTTCGGAAGTACGAAGTCTGAAATACTGCGGGTGTTGGATCTGAAGTTGAGATATGAATGTCTGAAGATGTGACAAAACCTAACGTATCTTAAATACAGGACTAGAAGAAAAACGTTAATGGTGGACCTTTCAATTTTATACTAAGAAATTCAAGTACACTTTAAGTCGTCAATATATCCGACTCACATGTTTAACCAAAACCTTCCTCAATCCTCCAAAGTCCTCCATGTAGTTTTGGAGGATTTTGGAGGATTGAGGCTAAAAGCATTTTGAGAGGCAGGGCTGTTGGAAGATTTTAAAGGATTGAGGCAGTGGGGTTATTCTTCATTTGAACATACAATGCAAGTACAATTTTTGGAGGATTTCTGAGGATTTCGGATTAATCCAAGCAGAAATGTCCTGGGGGTTAGGGTTAACTTTCAACGGTGACAAGGACTTAAAAAAAGGATGTGTTCCTATTTTATACAATGTACAATTTTTTTTTTATGGTGGGTCGCCGGATGAAACTCTCATTACATTTTTGCTTTTATTTTGTATGCAATCATAAGTTCTAGCAGTTAACCTACATGCTTGAATCAACTGTTCTGCATCCCGCGTTTGCTGAGCTGTTTACATGATTCACCGCATGGTTTAGCAAGACCGCACTTCCAACTAACATTTCAAAAATGGAAATACAAATTTCAAAAAATGGCAACACAGTGTAAGCAAACACTGGACTGAGGGCGGCACCAATAGATTTTTTTTTTTTCATTTTTTTTTTTTAGATTTTTAAGAATTCAATAAGTTCCGTAAGGCCAAAAAAAGTCACTGGTTTCTGGTATTGGAGCTTGCCTCAAAAGTGGTGCAGCGATGCCGCTTTTTTTCCTTCAAATGTCGGCGGATGACTGCAAATGGTGCCCGACTAAATTTAGTGCAAAATGTATTGGAGCCCAGAGAGGCCACATAGCTTATACTCGATCGTAATCCCATCTAAAAACACATTAAAATTGTGCAGCAGCAGGATTCCAGTCAAACCAGTGCGTTTGGCGGTTTTGAGACATAATCTTACATTGAAAAACAACTTTTTAATCTTGCCGACGCGCATCGTGGCTACGGCGACACGCGCATTCCAGAAACCGGAGACTTTTTTTTTTGGCCTAATAGAAAACACTGATTTTTTTTTTTTATTGTGTTCCCGATTGTAAATCTGTTTTACTTCAGAATTTAAAAGAGGCCTAGAAAATGCACTTCATCATTCATGAGCCTTTGAACGATTGAGTTACAACTGTTATGAAGTTACAGATATCATCCAGGGAATTAGGGATAAGCTACATGTCACAGTTCTTGTCACAAAACTGGTACTTCCATTTTATTAATCTGCTCGGTCTATTCACACATCACAAATACGATTAAAAATGTATTGTTTGAGTTTACACTTGCTAATGGTTAATCAAAAAAATGAATAATATGCCTCAGGAAAAGGATTTATGAGGCAACACAGTTTAGCTACTTTCTGAATTTAGACACACAAAAACACTCATGCTGAAATTTGTATCCTTGTGTACTAAAGTTTTCAAGTTTGAAAGTACAGTTTCAAAATGCTCTTATTTTAACCAGAATTAATTTCCTTGGCTGAAATTCGGACTTAATATCCCTTTTCTAAAACTACTATTTGCAACAAATCAACATACCTTTGAAATTCCTAGTTTTTGAGTAAAATCCATACATAATGTATATTTCGTGAGAACCTTGTGGAGACCTATTCATCTATAGAAATTTTGTTCCCTTTTGTGTGCATGTCTCCAGAGGGCACGGTGTATCAGATCAGGTCTAACCTTCTACTTGCATCAGCTAATTTGTGTGAACACAATTAAGGAGAGTCCTACAAATGTATGAACTAAGTATTACCATTACAATATCTGAAATGCAAACATTAAGCCATTAAACCTTACGCAACATTTTTCGATTAAATACAGATTTTTTGCAAACTGACTATAAATTACCTATATATGTAGTTAAGTCATTAAATTTTACGCCACATTTTTCGATTAAGTAAAGGATTTCTGCAAACTGACTAATTACTTAATGACAATGTAATCCCTTAAACGCTATGCAACATTTTTGATTAAATACAGATTTCTGCAAACTGACTCTTAATGGGCTTTTAAAAGTGCAGCATATATTTACCTAATAAGTTACTTATTTCTCCAAAGATAATGATTTTTTTTCTTTAATACTTCTTAGGAAACCTCAACACGTAGGAACTGAAGATCAAAACAAATTTAAAATGTACAGTCAAACACCTTAATAACAAGGTCCTTGTTATAACAGGTACCTTGTATTAACAGTAATGGAAAATAAAGAAAACTTTGGACCTAAACATTTTCATTGTTAAAGGCAGTATGTTGTATAAACGGTGCTCTTCTAATCAGGTAGCAGACCAGTAAATAAACCTCCATAGACCCCAATGGTAAATGCTCACACTTCAGAAATTCTGGGAAAATACTCACAACTCTCCAAAGTGTTCGAGACACACATCAAATTAAAACTTATTTCATCATCTTTCATTTTCTGTTCAATTTTCGGGGGTTAACTGATGACTTTTAGGAGAAATTTCCATCTAAAGATGATCACCCCTGAAAATAGCCCTGAAGCCCATCGCCATGTTGAAAAACGATGCCTACACTCCATTGCAAAATAGAGCGCTTTAAGGGCCCCAATTTCATCCAAATTGAATGGAACTACAAGCTCACAGTCCTGTGCACGGCTTCCACCCATATTTTTTACAAACCCTCAAGTTCATGGCCCACAGCATGCTTAAATACTGAAGATTGTGATTTGGCCGGCGCAGGCAATTTTGTACCGATTTACTGGTCTGCAACCATCAGAATTTGACTGTATAGTATGTACATGTAGGTGATCACCTGTGAGGACAGCTGTGCAAGTCTATTATGGCATATATCAAAATGAATGGCGACCGGTGGTGCTCGCTTTGCGATTATAGCCAAGGAGGAACTGGGTGAAATTTTGCACAATAATAATACATTCAGTGTTTTGTGTGAATGTTTCAGTTATTAAATGACACAAAATTAACTTTCTTTTCTGATTGTTTGCTTGAATTCAAATAATGTTTCACTTGATCCAAATACTGCATGATCAAAAACATGGTGGAATGGACCAATGCAATACCGCAGCTGCCTGATGAATATTTATGAGGTATTGCCTCGGGAGATAGTCCCAATCATCCAATGCCTCAAGGTCATTATTTTCACTATTTCCCCACAAACCATGTTGTATTTGTACTGGGTATATCGTCCTACAGTACATGTAGGTAATAAATACTGTGTCCTTTGCATTGCTTTTAAATGTTCATCATGGTTTGGGAAAATACGAGGTGCGATGTTTCTAGTTTCTCCTGCAGAGGAAAACCCGTTTGAAAAATGTGATGTATGATATCAGGAGAGTGCGGGTCGCTCGACGAATGTCCTTATTCCGGAGGTAATAGATCACAATGTTGAGCCAACTATTTGTTACCAGTGGCATCTTGACCAGATAGAAAAGCAGGTCTTGTGTGAGTTCAACAAGCTGGAGTAAAAATACAATGGCGAACAGTGAAGGCAGAAGGTTTGCAAGCATCCCGGACACAACCATGATGAGGAACGTGTTCAGAGATTTCCTGTTCTGTCCTGCCAGCTGATTTGCTCCCAGAGCGACTTGGTTGTCAGCGTGGATGCGTCGGGCGTGACGACGAGAAATCATGAAGAGTCTGATATATGTAGCTAGAATTGCCAGCATCGTGCTAAACAAAATGCACATGTAAATCACCAGTATCCGCAAAAACTGTGCATTTGAATTAGCAAAAACACACTGCAGAGCAAGATTGTTATACAAGGCGAACCACTTTGCCTCCAACCCATTCCAGATTGTTAAAGACAAATTAATGCCCCAAGCACAACATACTGCAACTCGAGTTCTCTTTACAGTTACAATGGAAGGGTAGCGAAGGGCATACACCACCGAAATGTAACGATCTATCGTCAGCAGGAATAATGACAGGATAGAACTGCTGGTGCAAACAGGTTCTAAAAGTGCTTGAAGCATGCAGAGCACATCTCCAAAGAGCCAGGCACCAGATAAGGCAGAAACCGTCATCGGAAGGCTGTAAAAAATCCCAACTCCAAGATCAGCCACAGTGAGAGATCTCAGAATGACTTTGGTGGTGTCCTGGACGCTGTCCACACGTCTCAGAGCAAGAAGACACAGTGGGTTCAGTGTCAGGAGGAGAATCGTGGAGAAGACTTGCACGATGCAGATGATAATGCTGGCGCGCCCATCCTCAGTGACGTCGTCCCAAGTTGCTGGTGGATTGGACACATTGTATGCATCCAGATCGGTATTGGTTTGGGTTGAATTCATGGTGAGACGATGCGGTAGTCTTCACACAATCTTTCCAAATTTATCTCAGAATTGAGATCAGATCACAAACTCCTGATGATCAAAGTCGGAGTGTAATTGTAGTTATTTCTTCTCAATAATGCATCTGGCAAAAAGTGTTGATCATGCCAACGAGAGTAAAATTTATATAGTCTATCATCAGACTCTCTGATTGGCTGTGCTTGGATTGTTTGATTTTTATTGGATAATGCAAATTACTTCTTTTTAATAACAATTTCAATTATGTTAAAAGGTATCGATCCATCCATGCAAATCCTGATGTGTACAGAAGCTATGTCTTGAGTTTACACTGGCTAATGGTTAATAAACAAAATGGGTAGAAAGTCTTGGGATGAGGAAGACCAACCGGAAGTCTGCAAAAGGGTTTTAACTTCCAGTCCCATTACCTAATTGGTATGATTCTGTGCACTTAATGTCATCATGCGACAGTCATCCTTGGAAGTCATCATGGGACAGTCTGCGCTACGGAGGGAATTTTCTGCTGTCCAATCCGATTTGTTACCCAAGCCCAGTCAAAGACTCCGTACTAAAAGTTTCAAACTGTTTCAGACTGTAACTTCGTTTGTGGTAGTCTTGTTCATAGGAAGTTACAAATTATGAAATATCGTCCTAGGTAATGAATTCTGTGTCCTTTGCATTGCTTTTACATTTTCATCATGGTTTGGGAAAATACGAGGTGCGATGTTTCTAGTTTCTCCTGCAGAGGAAAACCCGTTTGAAAAATGTGGAGTATGATATCAGGAGAGCGCGGGTCGCTTGACGAATGTCCTTATTCCGGAGGTAATAGATCACAACGTTTAGCCAACTATTTGTTAGAAGTGGCATCGTGACAAAATAGAAAAGCAGGTCTTGTGTAAGTTCAACAAGCTGGAGTAAAAATACAATGGCGAACAGTGAAGGCAGAAGGTTTGCAAGCATCCCGGACACAACCATGATGAGGAACGTGTTCAGAGATTTCCTGTTCTGTCCTGCCAGCTGATTTGCCCCCAGAGCGACTTGGTTGTCAGCGTGGATGCGTCGGGAGTGACGACGAGAAATCACTAACAGTCTGATATATGTAGCTAGAATTGCCAGCATCGTGCTAAACAAAATGCACATGTAAATCACCAGTATCCGCAAAAACTGTGCATTTGAATTAGCAAAAACACACTGCAGAGCAAGATTGTTATACAAGGCGAACCACTTTGCCTCGAACCCATTCCAGATTGTTAAAGACAAATTAATGCCCCAGGCACAACATACTGCAACTCGAGTTCTCATTACAGTTACGATGGAAGGGTAGCGAAGGGCATACACCACCGAAATGTAACGATCTATCGTCAGCAGGAATAATGACAGGATAGAACTGCTGGTGCAAACAGGTTCTAAAAGTGCTTGAAGCATGCAGAGCACATCTCCAAAGAGCCAGGCACCAGATAAGGCAGAAACCGTCATCGGAAGGCTGTAAAAAATCCCAACTCCAAGATCAGCCGCGGTGAGAGATCTCAGAAAGACTTTGGTGGTGTCCTGGATGCTGTCCACATGTCTCAGAACAAGAAGACACAATGGGTTCAAGGTCAGGAGGAGAATAGTGGAGAAGACTTGCACGATGCAGATGATAATGCTGGCGCGCCCATCATCAGTGACGTCGTCCCAAGTTGCTGGTGGATTGGACACATTGTACCGGTATGCATCCAGATCGGTATTGGTTTGGGTTGAATTCATGGTGAGACGTTGCGGTAGTCTTAACACAATCTTTCCAAATTTATCTCAGAATTGAGATCAGTTCACAAACTCCTGATGACCAAAGTTGGAGTGTAATTGTGGTTATGTCTTCTCAACAATGCATCTGGTAAAAAGTATTGATCATGCCAACGAGAGTAAAATTGATATACATGTAGTCTATCATCAGACTCTCTGATTGGCTGTGCTTGGATTCTTTGATTTTTATTGGATAATGCAAATTACTTCTTTTTATTAACAATTTCAATCATGTTTAAAAGGTACCGGTATCGATCCATCCATGCAAATCCTGATGTGTACAGAAGCTACATGTATCTCTTGAGTTAACACTGGCTCAGAACAAGAAGACGCAGTGGGTTCAAGGTAATAAGTTGTGTTTCCTTTGCATTGCTTTTAAATTTTCATCATGGTTTGGGAAAATATGAGATGCGATGTTTCTAGTTTCTCCTGCAGAGCAAAACTCGTTTGAAAAATGTGGAGAATGATATCAGGACAGCGCGGGTCGCTTGACGAATGTCCTTATTCCGGAGGTAATAGATCATGACGTTTAGCCAACTATTTGTTTGAATTGGCATCACAACCAGGGAGAAAAATAGGGCTTGTGTGAGTTCAACATGCTGGAGTAAAAGTACAATGGTGAACAGTGAAGGCAGAAGGTTTCCAAGCATCCCGGACACAACCATGATGAGGAATGTGTTCAGATATTTCCTGTTCTGTCTTGCGTGCTGATTTGCCCCCAGAGCGACCTGGTTGTCGGCGTGGATGCGTCGGGCGTGACGACGAGAAATCATTAACAGTCTGATATATGTAGCTAGAATTGCCAGCATCGTGCTCAACAAAAGGCACATGTAAATCACCATTATGCGCAAAAAGTGTGCATTTGAATTAGCAAAATCACACTCTAGAGCAATACTGTCATACAAGGCGAACCACCTTGCCTCGAATCCATTCCAGATTGTTAAAGACAAATTAATGCCCCAGGCACAACATACTGCAACTCGAGCTCTTGTCTCAGTTACGATGGAAGGGTAGCGAAGGGCATACACCACCGAAATGTAACGATCTATCGTCAGCAGGAATAACGACAGGATAGAACTGCCAAAGCAAACAGGCTGTAAAAGTGCTTGAAGCATGCAGAGCACATCTCCAAAGAGCCAGTCACCAGATAAGGCAGAAACCGTAATCGGAAGGCTGTAAAAAATCCCAACTCCAAGATCAGCCATGGTGAGAGATCTCAGAAAGACTTTGGTGGTGTCCTGGATGTTGTCCACACGTCTCAGAACAAGGAGACACAGTGGATTCAAGGTCAGGAGGAGAATCATGGAGAAGACTTGCACGATGCAGATGATAATGCTGGCGCGCCCATCCTCAGTGATGTCGTCCCAAGTTGCTGGTGGATTGGACACATTGTATGCATCCAGATCGGTATTGGTTTGGGTTGAATTCATGGTGAGACGTTGCGGTAGTCTTTACACAATCTTTCCAAATTTATCTCAGAATTAAGATCAGATCACAAACTCCTGATGATCAAAGTCAGAGTGTAATTGTGGTTATGTCTTCTCAATAATGCATCTCGCAAAAAGTGTTGATCATGCCAACAAAAGTAAAATTGTTATACATGTAGTCTATCATCAGACTCTCTGATTGGCTGTGCTTGGATTCTTTGATTTTTATTGGAAAATGCAAATTACTTCTTTTTAATAACAATTTCAATTATGTTTAAAAGGTATCGATCGATCCATGCAAATACTGATGTGTACACAAGCTATCTCTTGAGTTTACACTGGCTAATGGTTAATAAACAAAATGGATAGAAAGTCTTGGGATGAGGATGACCAACCGGAAGTCTGCAAAAGGGTTTTAACTTCCAGTCGCATTACCTAATTGGTATGATTCTGTGCACTTAATGTCATCATGGGACAGTCATCCTTGGAAGTCATCATGGGACAGTCTGCGCTACGGAGGGAATTTTCTGCTGTCCAATCCGATTTGTTACCCAAGCCCAGTCAAAGACTCCATTTTAGAAGTTTCAAACTGTTTCAGACTGTAACTTCATTTGTGGAAGTCTTGTTCAAGGGAAGTTACAAATTATGAAATATCATCCTAGGTAATGAATTCTGTGTCTTTTGCATTGCTTTTACATTTTCATCATGGTTTGGGAAAATACGAGGTGCGATGTTTCTAGTTTCTCCTGCAGAGGAAAACCCGTTTGAAAAATGTGGAGTATGATATCAGGAGAGCGCGGGTCGCTTGACGAATGTCCTTATTCCGGAGGTAATAGATCACGACGTTTAGCCAACTATTTGTTAGAAGTGGCATCGTGACAAAATAGAAAAGCAGGTCTTGTGTGAGTTCAACAAGTTGGAGTAAAAATACAATGGCGTAGAGTGAAGGCAGAAGGTTTGCAAGCATCCCGGACACAACCATGATGAGGAATGTGTTCAGAGATTTCCTGTTCTGTCTTGCCAGCTGATTTGCCCCCAGAGCGACTTGGTTGTCGGCGTGGATGCGTCGGGCGTGACGACGAGAAATCATTAACAGTCTGATATATGTAGCTACAATGGCCAGCATCGTGCTCAACATAAGGCATATGTAAATCACCAGTGTCCGCAAAAACTGTGCATTTGAATTAGCAAAATCACACTGCAGAGCAATATTGTCAAACAAGGTGAACCACTTTGCCTCAAACCCATTCCAGATTGTTAAAGACAGATGTATACCCCAGGCACAACATACTGCAACTCGAGCTCTCATCACAGTTACAATGGAAGGGTAGCGAAGGGCATACACCACCGAAATGTAACGATCCATTGTCAGCAGGAATAAAGACAGGATAGAACTGCCAAAGCAAACACGTTGTAAAAGTGCTTGAAGCATGCAAAGCACATCTCCAAAGAGCCAGGCACCAGATAAGGCAGAAACCGTAATCGGAAAGCTGTAAAAAATCCCAACTCCAAGATCAGCCACAGTGAGAGATCTCAGAATGACTTTGGTTGTGTCCTGGACGCTGTCCACACGTCTCAGAGCAAGAAGACACAGTGGGTTCAGTGTCAGGAGGAGAATCGTGGAGAAGACTTGCATGACGCAGATGATAATGCTGGCGCGCCCATCATCACTGACGTCATCCCAAGTTGCTGGTGGATTGGACACATTGTATGCATCCAGACTGGTATTGGTTTGGGTTGAATTCATGGTGAAACGTTGCGGTAGTCTTTACACAATCTTTCCAAATTTATCTCAGAATTGAGATCAGATCACAAACTCCTGATGATCAAAGTCGGAGTGTAATTGTGGTTATGTCTTCTCAATAATGTATCTGGCAAAAAGTGTTGATCATGCCAACAAGAGTTAAAATTGATATAGTCTGTCATCAAACTCTCTGATTGGCTGTGCTCGGACTCTTTGATTTTTATTGGATAATGCAAATTACTTCTTTTTATTAACAATTTCAATTATGTTAAAAGGTATCGATCCATCCATGCAAATCCTGATGTGTACAGAAGCTATGTCTTGAGTTTACACTGGCTAATGGTTAATAAACAAAATGGGTAGAAAGTCTTGGGATGAGGATGACCAACCGGAAGTATGCAAAAGGGTTTTAACTTCCAGTCCCATTACCTAATTGGTATGATTCTGTGCACTAAATGTCATCATGGGACAGTCCACGCTACGAAACGAATTTCCTGCTGTCCAATCTGATTCTTTACCCAAGCCCAGTCAAAGACTTGGTATACATGTAGGACGTTTCAAACTGTTTCCGACTGTAACTTTGTTTGTGGAAGTCTTGTTCATAGGAAGTTACAAATTATGAAATATCGTCCTAGGTAATGAATTCTGTGTCCTTTGCATTGCTTTTACATTTTCATCATGGTTTGGGAAAATACGAGGTGCGATGTTTCTAGTTTCTCCTGCAGAGGAAAACCCGTTTGAAAAATGTGATGTATGATATCAGGAGAGCGCGGGTCGCTCGACGAATGTCCTTATTCCGGAGGTAATAGATCACAACGTTTAGCCAACTATTTGTTAGAAGTGGCATCTTGACCAGATAGAAAAGCAGGTCTTGTGTGAGTTCAACAAGCTGGAGTAAAAATACAATGGCATAGAGTGAAGGCAGAAGGTTTGCAAGCATCCCAGACACAACCATGATGAGGAACGTGTTCAGAGATTTCCTGTTCTGTCCTGCCTGCTGATTTGCTCCCAGAGCGACTTGGTTGTCAGCGTGGATGCGTCGGGAGTGACGACGAGAAATCATTAACAGTCTGATATATGTAGCTAGAATGGCCAGCATCGTGCTCAACAAAAGGCACATGTAAATCACCAGTGTCCGCAAAAACTGTGCATTTGAATTAGCTAAATCACACTGCAGAGCAATATTGTCAAACAAGGTGAACCACTTTGCCTCAAACCCATTCCAGATTGTTAAAGACAGATGTATACCCCAGGCACAACATACTGCAACTCGAGCTCTCATCACAGTTACAATGGAAGGGTAGCGAAGGGCATACACCACCGAAATGTAACGATCCATTGTCAGCAGGAATAAAGACAGGATAGAACTGCCAAAGCAAACACGTTGTAAAAGTGCTTGAAGCATGCAAAGCACATCTCCAAAGAGCCAGGCACCAGATAAGGCAGAAACCGTAATCGGAAAGCTGTAAAAAATCCCAACTCCAAGATCAGCCACAGTGAGAGATCTCAGAATGACTTTGGTTGTGTCCTGGACGCTGTCCACACGTCTCAGAACAAGAAGACACAGTGGGTTCAGTGTCAGGAGGAGTATCGTGGAGAAGACTTGCACGATGCAGATGATAATGCTGGCGCGCCCATCCTCAGTGATGTCGTCCCAAGTTGCTGGTGGATTGGACACATTGTACGCATCCAGATCGGTGTTGGTTTGGGTTGAATTCATGGTGAGACGTTGCGCTAGTCTTTACACAATCTTTCCAATTTATGTCAGAATTGAGATCAGATCACAAACTCCTGATGATCAAAGTCGGAGTGTAATTGTGGTTATTTCTTCTCAATAATGCATCTGGCAAAAAGTGTTGATCATGCCAACGAGAGTAAAATTTATATAGTCTATCATCAGACTCTCTGATTGGCTGTGCTTGGATTGTTTGATTTTTATTGGATAATGCAAATTACTTCTTTTTATTAACAATTTCAGTTATGTTAAAAGGTATCGATCCATCCATGCAAATCCTGATGTGTACAGAAGCTATCTCTTGAGTTTACACTGGCTAATGGTTAATAAACAAAATGGATAGAAAGTCTTGGGATGAGGATGACCAAACAGAAGTCTGCAAAAGGGTTTTAACTTCCAGTCCCATTACCTTATTGGTATGATTCTATGCACTTAATGTCATCATAAGACAGTCATCCTTGAAAGTCATCATGGGACAGTCCATGCTACAAAACAAATTTCCTGCTGTCCAATCCGATTCTTTACCCAAGCCCAGTCAAAGACTTGGTATACATGTAGGACGTTTCAAACTGTTTCCGACTGTAACTTTGTTTGTGGAAGTCTTGTTCATAGGAAGTTACAAATTATGAAATATTGTCCTAGGTAATAAATTATGTGTCCTTTGCATTGCTCTCAAACTTTCATCATGGTGTGGGAAAATATGAGATGCAGTGTTTCTAGTTTCTCCTGCAGAGGAAAACCCGTTTGAAAAATGTGGAGTATGATATCAGGAGAGCGCGGGTCGCTCGACGAATGTCCTTATTCCGGAGGTAATAGATCACAATGTTTAGCCAACTATTTGTTAGAAGTGGCATCTTGACCAGATAGAAAAGCAGGTCTTGTGTGAGTTCAACAAGCTGGAGTAAAAATACAATGGCATAGAGTGAAGGTAGAAGGTTTGCAAGCATCCCAGACACAACCATGATGAGGAACGTGTTTAGAGATTTTCTGTTCTGTCCTGCCAGCTGATTTGCTCCCAGAGCGACTTGGTTGTCAGCGTGGATGCGTCGGGCGTGACGACGAGAAATCATGAACAGTCTGATATATGTAGCTAGAATTGCCAGCAACGTGCTCAACAAAAGGCACATGTAAATCACCAGTATCCGCAAAAACTGTGCATTTGAATTAGCAAAAACACACTGCAGAGCAAGATTGTTATACAAGGTGAACCACTTTGCCTCGAACCCATTCCAGATTGTTAAAGACAAATTTATGCCCCAGGCACAACATACTGCAACTCGAATTCTCATCACAGTTACGATGGAAGGGTAGCGAAGGGCATACACCACCGAAATGTAACGATCTATCGTCAGCAGGAATAATGACAGGATAGAACTGCTGGTGCACACAGGTTCTAAAAGTGCTTGAAGCATGCAAAGCACATCTCCAAAGAGCCAGGCACCAGATAAGGCAGAAACCATCATCGGAAAGCTGTAAAAAATCCCAACTCCAAGATCAGCCACAGTGAGAGATCTCAGAATGACTTTGGTTGTGTCCTGGACGCTGTCCACACGTCTCAGAGCAAGAAGACACAGTGGGTTCAGTGTCAGGAGGAGAATCGTGGAGAAGACTTGCACGATGCAGATGATAATGCTGGCCCGCCCATCCTCAGTGATGTCGTCCCAAGTTGCTGGTGGATTGGACACATTGTATGCATCCAGATCGGTATTGGTTTGGGTTGAATTCATGGTGAGACGTTGCGGTAGTCTTTACACAATCTTTCCAAATTTATCTCAGAATTGAGATCAGATCACAAACTCCTGATGATCAAAGTTGGAGTGTAATTGTGGTTATGTCTTCTCAATAATGCATCGGGCAAAAAGTATTGATCATGCCAACGAGAGTAAAATTGATATAGTCTATCATCAAACTCTTTGATTGGCTGAGCTTGGATTCTTTGATTTTTTATTGGCTGATGCAAATTACTTCTTTTTATTAGCAATTTTAATTATGTTTAAAAGGTATCAATCCATCCATGCAAATCCTGATGTGTACAGAAGCTATCTCTTGAGTTTACACTGGCTAATGGTTAATAAACAAAATGGATAGAAAGTCTTGGGATGAGGATGACCAACCGGAAGTCTGCAAAAGGGTTTCGACTTCCAGTCCCATTACCTAATTGGTATGATTCTGTGCACTTAATGTCATCATGCGACAGTCATCCTTGAAAGTCATCATGAGACAGTCTGCGCTACGGAGGGAATTTTCTGCTGTCCAAGCCGATTCGTTACCCAAGCCCAGTCAAAGACTCCGTATTAGAAGTTTCAAACTGTTTCAGACTGTAACTTCGTTTGTGGAAGTCTCGTCAAGGGAAGTTACAAATTATGAAATATCATCCTAGGTAATAAATTGTGTTTCCTTTGCATTGCTTTTACATTTTCATCATGGTTTGGGAAAATATGAGATGCAATGTTTCTAGTTTCTCCTGCAGAGGAAAACCCGTTTGAAAAATGTGGAGTATGATATCAGGAGAGCGCGGGTCGCTCGACGAATGTCCTTATTCCGGAGGTAATAGATCATGACATTAAGCCAACTATTTGTTTGAAGTGGCATCACGACCAGCGAGAAAAGTAGGGCTTGTGTGAGTTCAACAAGCTGGAGTAAAAATACAATGGTGTAGAGTGAAGGCAGAAGGTTTGCAAGCATCCCCGACACAACCATGATGAGGAATGTGTTCAGAGATTTCCTGTTGTGTCTTGCCGGCTGATTTGCCCCCAGAGCGACTTGGTTGTCAGCGTGGATGCGTCGGGCGTGACGACGAGAAATCACTAACAGTCTGATATATGTAGCTAGAATGGCCAGCATTGTGCTCAACAAAAGGCACATGTAAATCACCATTATCCGCAAAAACTGTGCATTTGAATTAGCAAAATCACACTGCAGAGTAAAAGTGTTATACCAGGCGAACCACTTTGCCTCGAACCCATTCCAGATTGTTAAAGACAGATGTATACCCCAGGCACAACATACTGCAACTCGAGCTCTTGTCACAGTTACAATGGAAGGGTAGCGAAGGGCATACACAACCGAAATGTAACGATCTATTGTCAGCAGGAATAACGACAGGATAGAACTGCCAAAGCAAACACGTTGTAAAAGTGCTTGAAGCATGCAAAGCACATCTCCAAAGAGCCAGGCACCAGATAAGGCAGAAACCGTCATCGGAAAGCTGTAAAAAATCCCAACTCCAAGATCAGCCACAGTGAGAGATCTCAGAAAGATTTTGGTTGTGTCCTGGACGCTGTCCACACGTCTCAGAGCAAGAAGACACAGTGGGTTCAGTGTCAGGAGGAGAATCGTGGAGAAGACTTGCACGATGCAGATGATAATGCTGGCGCGCCCATCATCAGTGACGTCGTCCCAAGTTGCTGGTGGATTGGACACATTGTATGCATCCAGATCGGTATTGGTTTGGGTTGAATTCATGGTGAGACGTTGCGGTAGTCTTTACACAATCTTTCCAAAGTTATCTCAGAATTGAGATCAGATCACAAACTCCTGATGATCAAAGTTGGAGTGTAATTGTGGTTATGTCTTCTCAACATTGCATCTGGCAAAGATTGTAGATCATGCCAATGAGAGTTAAAATGTATATACATGTAGTCTACATGTATCATCAAACTCTCTGATTGGCTGTGCTTGGATTCTTTGATTTTTATTGGATAATGCAAATTTGGTTTAAGTTTGGTTCAAGGTATCGATCCATCCATACAAATCCTGATGTGTACAGAAGCTATCTCTTGAGTTTACACTGGCTAATGGTTAATCAACAAAATGGATAGAAAGTCTTGGGATGAGGATGACCAACCGGAAGTCTGGCAACGGGTTTAATCTTCCAGTCCCATTACCTAATTGGTATGATGCTGTGTACTTAATCTTATCCTCGAAGATAGCTGTACATGTCTGCACTAATAGTGCATGCCGCACTGCATCGTGGGACAGTTTGCGCTACGAAGGGAATTTTCTGTTGTCCAATCTGATTCTTTATAGAACTGAATCATGTGCAAAGATGCGCGACTCTAAATTTTATTCAACTGGGGCACAGATTTAATTACAGGCATATGCTCATTTATCCCAAAAGTTACCTACTGAACTACAGTTGACTCTCGCTAGTACAAACTCTGTTAATACAACATTCTGGTTATAACAAACATAAGGCCTTGGTCCCGACTGTGCATTTATGTACACAATGAATGGGACTGATGTTCCTCTTTATACAAAATTCTGATATATCAAACAATTTGGCTAGGTCCGAACGAGTTTTTATTAACGAGACTCGACTGTACATGTGTTATCAATAAGCTTACTTGGATAAACCCTAACCCTGCTCAATCCAACAGGATCCAACAACATGTATTTGACATAGTCGCTGGGTATTGTTGGATTGAGCAGTAAACCCCTGGTATACATTCCTGTTGGAATCTGTTGGATTCAGCAGGCAACTGAAAACATTCACAGAGTCGGATTCTGTTGGGTGCTGGTAAATAACGCCAAGTTGGACTCTGTAGGATCCAGCAGACAACAGCAAAATAAGGCACAGTTGGATTCTGTTGGACTGAGCAGGCCAGTCATTTTAGATTTTCAGGTACCCAGCAATTTGGCAAGTCGGTTTGTGTGGGACTGGGTTGAATTGAGCAGGAAACTCATATGAGTAACTGCCAGACTTTGTTGGACTAAGCAGGGTAGTCCCGGGGAACTAGGGGGTTAGGGTCATAGTACTAAACAATGAATTCTGTCTGGCTTGCTGTCTCCTGGGAGAAATCAAGAAATGTAGGTAATTTCCAGTGATCAGTCAATTGCTCGAGTTTTGGGGAAAAAAGAGTCCCATATATGGAATCATGTTTCATGATCAAAAGGCTGTGCATGGTTTGTTTCAATGTTTTCTGAAATTTAGTGTGATGTCCACTGGGCTGAAACTTCAACACGTTGGGCTTTGAAGTCTTCTTTTGATTTTGAGTGGTGTTGGGATTGTACCAAAATGTAGGGAAATTCATGCACAGACAAGAAAGTTTAAGGAGCACTCACCTTCTGTTTAGTGATCTCTCGGTTTTTCCTCTCCACAGCGGCTAAAATGTCCTCCTCCTCCCCTTCCATCGCCTCGCAGCGAATCAAAAGATTCTGATACTCGTTGAAATATTTCTCGGCCTGCTCCTCTGGTGTCATCTTCCGCCTCCCTGTGCTCCCTGTCTCCACCCCTTTCTGTTCACCAAAATGTCCACCCATTGACGGAGGGTTCGTGTTGTATCTATCATTGGATTGGTCGTACGCCGGATGAACCACTCGCCCCTCTGGAGGATCTTCCCTATAATTGGAGTGGTACAGTCCACTTGCATTAGGTTTTGTATTGTTCACAGGGTGACTGGAATATTCCGAGGGGTTGTAATTTTGATGGGACGTCGGTGCCGGTTTGGGATTCGTTGAGAGTTGAGTGAGTGGGACTGTCGTGCGGTGATTGCTCCGTGTTGATGGCGTTATAATTTGCTGAAGCGTTGTGTTAACTGCAGTGGACGAAACTGCACGGAGAAAAATCAAAACAGAAGTATTAGCAACACTGGTCAATCCAAAGAGAGAAAATCATGTTCATTGTAAGAAGCACTACGCAATTTTGGTACCTTTGGCCCTGCAGGTGGGGCACTTGATCCTGTCTTCAGCACACGCCTCGCACAGGGTGTGGCCACAGGGGATGAGCACGTACGGTGTATGATCCGGAGCAACCTAAGAACGACCCAAAACTTTTCTCAATAGGCTTTATTCACGAGTCGGCCATATTAAATTGAAAGCGAGGTAAAATCTTCATTTTTGGAACTTGCGAAATAGAAATGAAAGCAATGAAATAAAGTTAATTACAAAGTAACACCAGTCTGCTCTGATGAATAATTTTACATTTGTGATTAATTATATGCTAATGTTTATGCCACATTTTAAAAAAAATGGGAAGCGAGGCTTGGAACGCATAGAAAGTCTGGCACCATCCCATTCAACAGTTTACAAGGCTTATTTACACATACCAGATTTTGTCGACTATGTCGCGCGGTATTGTCGCACATGCACGTGTGTGAACGAACATATACGTGATATGTTGTGCAATTCCAAATTAGCGCGATAGGTCACACGACTTTGTCACATACGTGCAAATGCACTCAATGATTTGTGGGTATATATTAAGACGCGCGACAACATCGCGTATATGTATGTGTAAATAAAGTTCAGGGAACACGATCAAAAAAGGCTCCCTCTTGAATAAGGTTTATTGTCACAACTACATGTACATGTAGATTCAACTAGGTTTGTACAGCGCAGACCGTCACTTGCTTCAAATCTGGCACAAGTCAATTTCTTTTTTCATTCCAACACTGTACTTCAATAAAATTCTAATATTTTGCTTCTTACCATAAGCTGTTTACATTTGCTGCATTTATGACTTGACATCGTGCTGCTTTCGTCATCGTGGTCATCTTCCAAGACACTTTTCCCTGTGAAGCCGACCGACTGCATCATCTGACTTCTCTCCTGTTTCAGATCGGCTCTGACTTTGCTGGCAATTTGGTCCGCCAGCTTATCGAAAGCATCGGGGGCCATCAAGTCTCTAGTTCTCGGCCCGGATTGGCTGGCGTCCTCGGCCAGTCTTTCGTATGATTGGCCGACAATTGGCCTCTTGGAGTCTGATTGGCTGTCTGTTGACTGGACGGATTCCGATTGGACGGTGACTTTGGTGGGTCTTTCCGATTGGCTGGAAGTTCTTTCACAACTGAAGTCCCATTGGTCCTTGTGTTCTTTGGAAGCATTTGATTGGTCAGTCCTGAATCTGGACTGACTACTCGTAGTGGACGGATCGCTTTCAACCCCATGATACAAATTTGGCTCGGAGCCCGTGTGTAACATTCTCCCCTTGGAGACAAACTCACTGTGTTCGCCAGGACTCTTTGGCTTCTTTGTTGAACTGGAATCACTTTTTGAAGATACAAGACGATTTGATGATGGGGGTCGCCCTGATGATGGGGGTCTACCTCCAGTGACCTTTGACACAGCACCATCCTTAGCACTTGTGGATCTTGGGTTGTTTGTTCCCGACGCAGACCCTGTGTTTGTTGGCCGGGCTGGGGAAGCAGAGCGTGCTCTCACTGATGTTGGCTTTTTCTTGGAGCCACTTCCAACTACCCAGGACACTGTATCTAAATGAAATTTTAAAAATGTAAGTTCAATCGTGCACGTCAAAACCATGGAAACATTTTTTGACTTCTTCAAAACTGCATCGAACAGATAACCCTACAAAACTTGGGATCCTCTCAAATATAGTTGAGCTTAACAGTGCAAAGCAGAGTTGTAATGACTCGAGTCAATGACTCGACTCGAGTCCGACTCGAGTCACATTTTTTGGCGACTCGACTCGACTCGAGTCCCGACGGGTAAATGACTCGACTCGACTCGAGTCACTGCGAGCAAATGACTTGACTCGACTCGAGTCCCTCATCAGAATGACTCGACTCGACTCGAGGAAGGCTAATAAGACTCGAGTCCCAAAATAAAAGCAAAAGTTACTTGCGAAAAATATTTGCAATGACTTACGCTGCGCCGTTCGCGTTGCCAGTTTTTGTTCACGTCACGTTAATGTTCGCGAATAATGTACGTTTATATACAGCGGCAGTCTGTTTCCTTCCTCCATAATGAAACAACAAACATACACCGTGTCGCGGACTCCCACCTTGTGGTTCTATAGCATGTAATGCTAAACCTGGAACCAGACTTAAAACGCATTTCTCAATCCGTGGTTTCATCATTGGTTTCGGGCGATTTTGAAGTTCTTGGTGGAACGCTGGCTAAATTCATGTCCCGATTTCACACACAAAAATGGATACGGACGGGCCCACCTTTAAATAATCAGAAACAGTTTTGTATAATGCAATTAGGTTTTAACGTTGTCAGCGATCAGCGAACAACAAAATCTAGACCCGAAGCCAAACCAGTTATAAGACCGAAGTTTCACATCTTCTTATCTGTGACGTGAGCTAGCAATGGAAACTATTGGTTGGGTACCATACAGCATACTTTATGTCTTTGGATTTCCGTAATAGACTGGTGCCTTGTATTCTTTCTCTCTTGTGTTTGTTGCTTTTTATTGTAAGTAAGTGTTCAAATATTTGTGACTCGAATTGACTCGAGCTAAATACTTGACTCGACTCGACTCGACTCGACCACACTCTGTGACTCGACTCGACTCGACTCGACCTTGTTGACCTAATGACTCGACTCGACTCGAGTCACTTCTTTAAAATGACTCGACTCGACTCGAGTCACAAAAATCAGTGACTCGTTACAACTCTGGTGCAAAGTCCACTTTTGCGAACTTCTTGTTTTCTAACCTGTTTTTTTGGCTGTTTCTTTGGAAGCTGTTTTTGTTTTCCCCTGAGCACCTCTGCTTGGCCTGGTATTCGATGATGATGATGTTTGTTCTGACAAGGAGGCTCTCTGGTTCATCCAATTCTTCTGCATGCGCTTTATCTCTTGAACCTTAGGATAAATTAATTTTAAAAAAATATTAATGGCCAAGCAATATATATGATTTTTATTATATATTATATTTTGCCTTCATAAACATCACTTTAAAAGCTCCGTTAAAATGCTTGTAACTAAATCTTCAAAAATATTTATTGTATGAAATTACAAAATATATATTTCCATTTCTTACCAAAATACCAACGAAAATTACACCAGAGAAAGGTTGCTTGAGGTTACAGAGTCATTTTGGAATGATTAAAAAAACGTATGAGATTACAATCAGACACTCGTTTTCAAACACTGAGTGACTAAAAGCAAAGCATTTAACTATGCATAGTTAAAATGCTAGCTATTAAATGATTTTCAGATTGATTTTTTATAGTTGAGGAAAAACAGCATTACAAGCAGAAATTTGCCGGAAAACACCGGAAGTCAACTGGAACATTTATCTGAAAACTACCTGCAAAACAACAGAAAAGCTTTGTCTGGGACAATAAAAACTGTGGAATATTTTAAGCTCAAACGGGTAGGCGGTATGCCACCGTGTCTGAGAACAGCTGTTCTGGATGTTTGTCCAGCTGTTTTATGATGCATCACGTTTATACCCAGATGCCTTCCGGTCTTTTTCAGTTGCTTTTTAGGTATTTCTGATTGATTTCCAGTGTTTTTTCATGTTTTCCGGTTGATTTCCAGTGTTTTCTGGTTGATTTCTAGTATTTTCCGGTTAATTCCAATTGGTCTCCAGTTGTTCCCATTGTTTTGTGGTTGATTTCCGGTGTTTTCCGGTTTATTTCCATTGTTTCCAGTTGTTTTCCCACCAGTGTTTTTTGTTTGATTTTGTTTGATTTCTGGTGTTTTCCAGTGGATTTCTTTTGTTTTTCCAGTGTTATCCGGTTGATTTCCGGCATGTCTGGTGCTTTCAAGTTGTTTTTAATTGATTTCCAGTTGTTTTCTAGTGTTTTCTTTTTGATTTCCGGTGTTTTCTGGCTGATTTCTGTTGATTTCTAGTTGTTTTCCAGTGTTATCCGGTTGACTTCTTGGTGTTTTTTGGCATGTCTGGTTGTTTTCAACTTCCAGTTCCAGTTCCAGCTGTTTTCTGGCATGTAGGATGGAACGCCGTATTATCGCGGTACTTATCACGTTTCTCGTTCGGAATAGAGATTGCCCACTAACCTTCCAGAATTGTCCTGTCTTATGTGTAGTATAACTCTTCCTTTTTAAATTAAAATAAAAAAATCTGACGGGTAGTGTGATTTATTCCGTGTACGATGCCTGTGAAAATAGACACGCGCGGCGTGTGCGAACGGAGGTGGACTCCCTATTATCGCGGTATGCGGGAAGTGGTTTTTATAATGATCCCAACTTTTTTGTTCATAGTTTATGTTTGACCAAAACACCCCCTGAATAAAGTCTGATATTTTCCCTGTAACGTTCAAGTTGATTAAAGACAAAATGTCTGCAGGATGATTTCTTAAGACCCTGCCCTTCCCCCGAAAGGAGAACACAAATCCCTGAGGCATTCACTTTACACGGTGTGCCGTTTTATTTTCGCTAACGCGCGGTGCTTATTTTGATCCCGTAAAAGTTGTTACGATTTCGCGCTGCAAATATCGTCGTTCGACTTCATTTTACATTTGCAGCTGAAGAATGGGAACCAGACAATGGAACTTTCATGGACAGACCGCAACTAAAGATTTATGTTAAAATATAAACGGTACCTTTTAGCAGACACGGTGAGGGAAAATTTTGCAAGTTTTGGAAAACCTTAATATTTATTAAAATCGTTAAAAGTCCCGAAAGACACAACATTTTTTAATCGTCCTTTTTATACAACTCGGTAGAAAATCCTTGATGACTGGTGAACTGGATAAAAATCGCCACTTCAAGGAGTTTTGACACTGTAAAAAGAGAAATTTCCCATGCCGCGATAATAGGGATGCCGCGATAATTAATAGGGAGTCCGACTATACATTTTCTTTTGTATGTTTCTTTTGTGTGCTTTCCAGTGAAGTATTACCCTGGAAATATTTTGCTAAGGCAAGTGACCCTCAGCGACAAAAAAATTTCGAAAAGCGCCCCAAAGTAATTCACTCGCCTTGAACTTTGAACAGACTTCAGTTGCAACTTGCAACAGGTCAAAAATTAGCAGACGACGTTTCTGCACTGCCGACTGCCGAGTGCATTTGACATTAAGTTTTCTGTAAAAAAACTCACCTTTTCCGATATTCCTGGAATCTTTTTTGAGGCCATTTTTACACAGGATGTATTTCTTTATAACTAAACCACAATTTAAGTCAGTTACAAACAGTTTCCCCAGCTTAAATAAATGAATATGCCAAACGAAATTGTTGCATCGAGTTTCGTTTTTGCAGCCATTTTGTTAAGTACTACAAATAGTAATTCATGAAACCACGCAATTTCCCGTCTGTATTTGTTCTTCAATAAAATAAAAGGTAAAAAGATTATTTGTATTCAGAATCATAGCGCTTTAAAAAAATATATTATAGCAATGCAACTAATTTTTAGGGAACAATCAGGGTAAAAGATGTTTTTTTTTGCCCTGACGAGGTTGTCAAATCTCGCAGAAGACGAGAAAACAATATTCGGCGGCCATTTTAATTTGGCGGACGCTAGAACTTTAGAAGGTCTTTCCATCATAAAAAAACCCCTTGAAATTCCTCCTTTCAGACCTTCTTTAGTTTAATCAAAGAATTATGTCGTTATTCAAAGATTGATTAGTAAGTATTTATTATTGTTTGATGATGACATAATCGCACTCACATTTGTTTGCTTGTATGTAGCCCCATAAATGTGGCCTATTTACGTAAATTTACTGGACTGCCTCCGTAAACATAGGCCACACATCCACATGTACAAAAATCGTGTCGACTTTGCCAAATTTTGATTTTCACATTTAGGCTTAGTTTGTAGGGTTTTTTGCTTTAGAAGCATACTCACCCTCTTTATAGGCTAATCAGAAAGTGCTGCCTTTTTCAGATGTATATTTTTCGTGAAATTCCAGATTCATTTTTACACGTTTTACGTTTGCGTATCAAAATTTCAACATGAAATTTCACAAAAATTAGACATCTGAAAAAGGCAGCACTTTCTGACTAGCCTATAAAGAGGGTGAGTATGCTTCTAAAGCAAAAAAATCCTACAAACTAAGCCTAAATGTGAAAATCAAAATTTGGCAAAGTCGACACGATTTTTGTACATGTGGATGTGTGGCCTATGTTTACGGAGGCAGTCCAGTAAATAGGCCACATTAATGGGGCTAGTACCTACCCTGTTTTCAAATGCCATGTAATCGGATGCAGAACTTTTTTTTTTTTGGCCTTAGCTTAAAAGTTTCATGTTTGTACTCAGGTTGCTGTTTTTATTTGGCATATTTACAGGTGAAGCATTGTTTATGTAGGCTACCATCATGTTTCAGATTGGCGAGGAAGATTTCTCATTTGGAGATGACGAGGTAAATGAAATAATTAAATACGCTAAGTCCTAACATTGGTTCAAGCTAGTCTTACATGACAGATTAGAGATCTAACAAGTGGGATAGCATTATTCTCCCCATCCAAAAAAATATGTCAAGATACTCAACACCTTTTTTTACGTGGCCAGTAAATGGCAATAGTTGAATTGAAATCAAAGAATGTATCTATTTTCCTTCAATTCTCTGTCAGGATTTTTGGTCAGAAGCCCTAGAAGTTGAAGCTGCAACCACTGCAAGCAACTCCGGCAAATCGGTTGCCAGTTCCGTGACCCATGGTGGAAGCCTTGCCGCTGAGAATCACAACCAGCAGAACCAAACAAGAAGCTCTGCCACGGAGAAAGCCCTGTTGCCAAGAAGCAAGGGTCTCTCAACACAGACACCTGGACAGCATCTGGCAGGCCTCAGAAATGCACCAAATGGCCTTGGGGCTGCCACGACGCTGCAAGTTTCCAGCAAAGGCCTTCCAACAACCCCCGGGAACCAGGCCAAGAGGAAGTTCTCTTTCAAGCAGAAATCTCCAAGAGGCAATCCCACTGCACCGTCCGTTGATGCTGCTGTAGGGGCAAACAAAAGGGCAAAGTATGATGAGCAAAGACCAACACCTTTCAACAACACCCATAAAATCTCAAATGATAAATCTGGACCGTTGCAAGACCTGAGCAAGATTGTTCAAAAGCAACCAAGCGTAACTACAGGAAATCTCCAGCCACCAGCAAACCAGATTTCAGGAGCTCCAAAGCTCAGGCAGCCCCTAATCAACTCAAGCAGTTCAACAGTACGGAAGGATCAACAGAGTGACAACCAGGGAATAAACCAACAGTTTCTTCAACAGAGAACAAATAAAACCTTGCTCGACAAGACCAGAGAATCTCAGACCCAAAATGGTCCAGTAACTGGAAGGGATCCGACACTTCATGCAAGAGCAAACCAAAATTTCAGGCTTCCAGGACAGCAGCCTGACATTGCCACAAGCAAACCTGCAACCGAACATCCATTCGAGTTCGGAGACAATTTTGATGAGGAAATGGACCTGTCAGAGGACTATTTTAATTGGGATCCAGTAATTGAGCCATTGAGTACCACAAGCGCAGTTTTGAGTGAACCCAAGTCAGCTTTCATAGCTAGTAATCATTCAAAACCTTGCCAAGAGAAGAGAGCATCTCACAGTGTTCAGAACATCTGCCACATTTCCAAGCCCATTTCAATGCCTTCACCACCTCTGGGCTCTACGCCTGGATATTCCAACCCAAGCCTCACCATGCAAAGTGGCACGTCAAACACACAGGTTAACTCGAATCAACTAAGACCCATCTCAACACAGGGAGGCTCTCTGCGATCCGTAGTTCCACCAAACAATTCATCATCTGGTGCTCCACAATCTGCACAACTAAACAACTCCCTCAGTTCAACCAGATTCAACTCTCCACTCGCCACACAAAACCCTCGTCCCAATTTCCCTCAGACACGAACTCAGCAGTTGCAGGGCAACCCTCCAAGGATGAACTTTCAACCTCGCACCCCATCACCCAGCTTCCCTGCCCCTCGACCCGCTACCCAGTACCCATTGAGAACAAACACCCCCATGAGGGCTGGTACACCCGGGTACACTTCCCCTTCACCACGTTTCCAGGGTAGGGGAGTCACACAAGGCGTAACATCCGCTCCGCAGACCCCAAACATCCGAACGCCCAACACCAACATTTCAACTCCTCGTCAGTTCGCAACACCCGCCCAATGTTTCCAAAACTCTTGTACCAATCGAGGCAGCACGACCCAGGGGGACAGACCCTTTACCACACATGGTGCCAAACCCCAGAGCAGAGGGACACCCACCCCTCAGACCCCACTCCTAACATCAAGGGTCGCCCAGTTGTTTCAAACGCCTACTACTAGCAGCTCTGGCCCCACCCGGACAAGAGTGAGGAAGTTTCCAGGACCAGCGGGAGTGTTACCAAAACTGGTTCGTTCCATTTGATGATTTGGGGTTTTTCTTTAGACATTGAAGAATTCCTCATACTTTGGATACATCCAATCACACATAGGTCAACGTTTTACTCACCAACAAAACTATTCAAGTATTTTGAGTATTTTCTCGCCTCACTTTTAAAAGCCCTAGAATTTTTTTTCGTTCACTGTACATTTGAAGTCGGTGAAACAACCTGAGAACTAAACATTGCCCTTTTCAGCATTGTTGTTTGATTGACATTACAGGCACAAGGTCAGAAGCTCAACGACATCAAGTTACCATCTCCAGAAAATGATCCAGATAAGCCAAGCACAAGTTCTAATAAACAGGGGGTAAGTTAAAAGGTACACAATTCAATTATGTACAAATGTACCTTTTGTTTTCTTTTAAGGTACCCCTAAATCTGCTGAAGCGCTCCGAACTGTCTTTTTGAGAACTTGCAGAGTAAAAATATCAAAAATGAGATCTAGTTTTGTTCACCCCACCCCTCACAAAATGTAGCACCTACTTCTGTAGCCGTAAAATATTCTATTTCAGACTGTTAAGGCTGGATACCTAATTTAATACAAAGTTTCCTGTCCCGTTTTTTTTTAGGAGTTGGACAGTTCCCAAGATGTCGGCGAGACCGATTTCTCTCACGGTGCTTGGCAGACCATGAAGACCGACCTGGGCCTGGACGAGGGCGACCCTCGCTCCATGCTGGCGAGGAACAACATTGCGCTGGTTCTCAGAAAGGTAAGGCACTACTTCATTAAAGATTGGCTGTGTGCAAATTTACATGGCTACGACTGGAAATTACACACGCGCCTATGGAAACGGCTGCAGCCACTTCACATAGACCCGTGTGTAATTTTCAGCCGTTTAGGAGCACACCTATGTTGTAAGGTCAACTGTTGCAGTCTTTTGGAATGACTTCTGCACCTGATTTCATCAAACTCTTCGTAACTTTGATGCATCGCAGTGCTGCGACGCGTCATATCCCTTCGATGCGCCGCAGCTGCGACGCTTCCTGCGATCCATTTCACAAAACACGTCGTAAGTGCGACGCGTCGTAGGTGTATTTATAGCACAACTTGGTGACTGTCTTATGTTTTAAGTCAGCGTACAGTAAATAGTCATCTGGTATTCAACAAAGAGTTGTCGGATCTCCGCTCAAAATTTGTTAAAACGTAAAACAAAATTGTTTTTTGTTGTGCGATGCAATTGTGAAGGAAAACAAGCTCTCAGTGGACTGTATAGCTACTTTGAAATTTCAACTGCAATATTCCAATTCATAATGAACTTTCTATTTACAACTTTACACACATTGCCTCGGTATTATAATCTCGTTCATGTAATGTTTATGGCATTAAACTGGCTACGAAAGGGACTCTTCTTATTTTGCGATGACCACTAGACACGTCGTAACTTGCGACGTGTTTTAAGCCGTTGTCAAGGAACTTACGACGCGTTCATCACATTGCAACTTTCGTGAAATGGATGATACGACGCGTCGCGAGTTGCGACATGTTACTCGTCGTAACTTGAGTTGCGACGCGTCACAGTGCTTTGTGAAATCGGGTGCAAGGTCTTTTCAACGGAGAATTGATGCCTGTCTAAAAGCCAAATTTCTATTTGGGTCGACCTGTGTTGCTGCTAATATTATTTGGCTTGGCATGACTCTGGTTGCCAGTCTGAGACAGGTGTACGTTATCGAGCTTTACTCGTTTTGGTCATCCACAGGCAAGCCTGAAGCAGCTGACCAAGAACAAAGTGCCCCACCTCTGCGTGATGATCAAGGCCGTGGCCTTCGACGCCGACGCCAGCGTGGTCCTGAGGGACCCGTCGGGCGAGATGCAGGGAACCGTGCACAGGCGTGTGGTTGAGGAGCACCAGTCGGAACTCAAGCCTGGCAGCGTCTTGGTCCTCAGACAGGTAGATTATTCTTAACCCTCACTCCTCCTGGGGCATTTTTTGTGTTTCTTGAATCCTCCAAAACCACCACTGCAAGAAAGGAATGGTACCTTCTTTGATGAGTATTTAGCTAAACTGGAAATCAAGCTTGGTTCTGCCTTACCGCAGTCCTGAAAAATCCTCCAAAACCTCCTGGTTGAGTTTTACAAACGTGGGATGATCTGATTTTTCACCAAGACTCTGATTACAGAAGATAAGACAGGCACTTTAAATGGTCCAAGCCAATGCTCTTCCATGAACTACAGTTCTCGGTTGCCTCACAATATACCACAGCTGGGGTAAGGAAAATCATAGGTACCGAAGTGTCCAAAATGGAATTTATTGATTGCTCAGATCATATCAACCAATTTTACTTCTTTTTCAAAGGTTGGTGTTTTGAGTCCCTCGCTACGCAACCACTACCTCAACATCACCCCAAGCAACCTGATCCAGATCTACCCAAGCGAAGCCATGGGCCTCTCCCAGTCTAGCCAGAGGACTCCCAAATCACGGTCCCGGCATCCGTCAACCAGTAAGGAGGGGTTGTCTGCAGAAACCGAGCAAAACACCCCAAAGAGGTCGGAAACCTCGGAGACAAAGAGCAGGCGCCACTCGGGAGGAGTTAAAAACGGCACCCTGGTAGAGGCATCTCCAGACGATACCTTCTGCAAGCTGAGGAGGTTTTCCAGTGGAAGCAGACTTGTCGAGGAAGGCAAGCATGCTGAGGTGAACCATCGAGCATCCAGCAGCTCTGACCTCAGGCTTGATGAGGAGACTACACTTTCCAATGGAAACCACAGCATTTCAAGCAGACTGGAGGCCGAGTCTACACATTTCAGTGTCAGTCATGGAATAAATGAGCCAAAAAGCCCTTTTGCCAAATCATGCACTGTTGCCGCCGCTGATACTCGCAGCACCACAGTCAGAGAATGCAACTCAATGTCATCCTTTTCAAATGTCCAAAAGAGTGAAGACTTCACGGAGCTTCTGGCAGACATAGGTGATGACTTCTTTGAGGACTTCTGAACCCTTCCCTATCAAGAGATGTATTCAGTCACTCATAAAAATCCCACAAGTCGATCACATGTCAATCACATGTCGATCACATGCCAATCACATGTCGATCGCATGCCAATCACATGGCAATCGCAAGTCTATCACATGTCAATGACATGTCCATCACATTCCAATCACAAGTCCATCACATGTCAATCACAAGTCAGTCAGTCTGAAGTCAAGTGACAAATGTTACTCCCTTGAGCTGCAAAAAAAAGCATCCCCTTCTATCATTAACCTTCTCCTGTTACTTATGACCATACTTGAAATTTGACGTTTGATTGATTTCTGATGGACTTTAGTTCTCAAATTAGGTTTTATTTTTTTGCAAAATTCTGCAAAAAAAATATTCAGTGTGCATAAATGCCAATTATGTTATTACATATGTATTATTTGATGTCTTTTATTTTTCCAGTTTATAAGTGGTTTATTTGAAATATGAATTCATATTAAAACAGTAGTATGTAGGTAGTGAAATATTAAACTACGCAACACAAGACTCCGGCCATGAAAAAGAATTCTTGGAAAATACTTATTTCTTAATATATGTCCAACTATTGAATAAATCAGGCATTGCTGAACATCACAGTGGATGATTTACACAGCTTGCAACAACATGCATGTTGAAAGGAGTGACCAATTTTAGGGGATGCATTTTAAATTCAACACACTTTTTAGACAAAGTTCATTTGGGAAGTGGGAACTCTTGTGTTAAAGCTTACAACACAATGTAATAACACAATTCCATAACATCTCATAAATTCGGTAATTATTATTACGGGAAATGGTACATTAGGGGGACGTCCCCTTAGGGTTGTGTGCAAAAACTTTAATAATGATCCCTAACCCCAATTTTCCCCAGTCTTACCCCTACAAATTTTGGTACATTTATGGTTTGGACCACAAACAATCGATCTAGCCTATTTGTGACAGAAAAAAATTGCCTCCAAATAGGAGCTGTGACATTAGGGAGACATGAAATAATTTTTTAATGAAATATTATTTCATTCCCTATTCCCTAATGTCCGGTGTCTCCCTTAGGCGTAACTAAGGCCCCCCAAAAAATAGTTCTGCTTCCAATTACATACATGGCATTTGAAAATAGGGTAGGTAGGTAAGGAATTTTTTTTTTTTTGGCCAATTTTTTTTGTGTACGATCATATGGAGGCATCTGCATCTAGTCAAGGGTAAAAAGTAGAAATTGATAGTTTGGGGTGATTTTTCCTCATTTTTCCCATAAAAAAAATTAGGGTAGTGCCTGTCAGAATAGGGTAGGTAGGGAAACCGGAAGCAGAACTATTATTTTTTTGGCCTAATAACTAATGACGAAAACATGTTGCCTTGAGGGTACATTAACCGGAATTAGCCTGTTCCTAACTTAACAAACACTATTAACATTTTTCAAAGCAGTAAATTTATTATTCAAAACCACCTCAAATCTCGTTGGGGTCAATTTCAATAATCAATTTATCCTTCTGTTTTAGTGTTTACCATGGGAATTTATTCCACCAATGCCGAATGCATTTTTAATCCTTTTTTTTGTCTTTAACGACTTCCAATTAATTAAAATGCAATCGGCAAAATGCCGCAGCTTTGGTCGTAAAAGTTAGGCTCAAGGTAGAATTTCTCAATATTTATAGATACATCAGTTAAACTGGGGGCATTGGATGATTTTGAAATCTGATTACCAAGTGAGGTGTTTTTGTTTTACATATATAAATATTTCAAACCAATGTCACTCAAAATTTGAATGAAAAGAATATGAGCATTACGATTCAATTTATTCAGCTTATTGGATATTTTAAAAACTAACTCAATAATAAGCAGAACTCGATAACAAGCAGGCCTGCATATTAGTTGAATGACCTTATAACTGTCATGAATATTCATCTATTTTTCAATATGTTGAAGACAATACAATTTTCTTTCCTAAAAATAGTAAAATAAAAATAAAACAACAGACAAATGTACTGTACATACATATCTACTTCTTGGAGTGTGATTATTCTTCTTAACACCCGTGCAATTTCGGGAAATATTTTACGGGTTTTCCAAATTCTTTTCTTTTCTTTCTACATGTTTTTAATTAATAACAAAACCTATAAAAACGTTGTTCATTTCAAAACAAATTCTCACACCATATCCGTGCTCAGAATAATTGGCTGATATTTTTCCCGAACTACAGTGTATAGTTTATTTCGTGATGTGCTGAATAAATGTTTTTATTCCCCGTATCCGCGTACGCAAACAACCCAATCCTTTACCTACCAAACCCAATCGGCCTAACGTGAACTAGTTTCTTCAATTCAATTAATCTCTTTCAACACTTCAAAGGTAACTCGGTTAATGTAACCTCAATTTCCCCAAACAACTTTTCATTCCGAACCCTTGGACAATATTTTGACTAAAGGCCCTGAGCCCAAATCCAATTTGCTCGATACAATGAGAGAAATCGCCAATCCAAACAGCGCGCCACTTACGGCAAGAATTTTGTAGCCCCCTCGGATCAGTTTTGAGTGTCTGTTTCGTATGTGGTGCGTTTCAAAAGGGGCGATGTTTTCCTCGACCGAATGCGACAGTGACACGACCCACATAATTCAATGAGACTTTTGTTTCCAACTTTTCTAGACTCGATTTGCCGAAGAAAAACAGCGGGAAGTTTTTAAAACTGCCACATCATATTTATCACCCGAAGCATGATCCAGACGAGATAATCTGAACATGCGACCGTTCAGCACGCACATTGACAGCCCTAGATGTGGAAAGATGAGGCTTTTTAAATAAAATATTCTCTTCTGTTTTTTTGTCTTCTTTTATCACAGCGAGGCAAGGCGTAGACCTCAATTTCGCACGTGCTCTCGACATTTCAACAATTTGTTTTTGAAGACGTTCGTTGGAAATGGGTCACTAATAGTGCTTTTACACGCCAGGGTGTCGCTTTAACCTTTCGTTATAACCGAAAATGTGTACATGTATCCGAGTTTGTCTTCAACAAATTTCTCCCCTTGTACAATTTTGCCGGGACCGAAGATATTTGCTGTTATAACCGGAGTTTCGTCTTATCCGACAACGTAGGCTACTAACGGGAGTCGACTGTACACGTCTCGCGGCTCTTCTTAAAATTCCTCTGGATTTGGTATTGAATCATGTCTTAAGATTCCAGACATGATTATCATTGAGAAATAGCGCTAGCAAGACTGTTTTTTGCTTTTCCACAGTTAACAAGCCTCCGTAAAAAAGTGAAATGGGCCAGAAAATCTTTCTAAAACGCAGCTAGCCCATATACCTAGCCTATGCCTCCCCAGCAGCGATTGATTTCCACATTTCCATATTGCGAGTGCCCTTGTCACTCATGCGTGAAGGTGCGATTCGAGATCGGTCTATTTTGCAAGTCTGAGCTCTGCTTTTCTGACCGTATAATTATGGGCAGGTGCACGATATAACTGACAGGTGACGGTTTGCAACTCAGTTTTTCACTTTTCTGTTTTGCTGTTGGGGATGAATAAACCAATTTTTGACTGGTTTTGAAATGACCAGCCCAAGATCTTCATATCCATGGAAACATGACCTAGGCCTATATTATTTTTTCAAAGAATTAGTTTTTCTATAAATCAGTGCAAGCAACGGTAAACTTATGGCTGTGATTATGATCCAAGCGTGTAGAGTTGGTTTGGGTGTTTGTTTGTTTGTCTGTGAGTTTATTCGGTTTGTTTGTCAGTCGTGGTCGTTGGGTTGCTGGGGTGTTGGAGTAAGATGTTTAGTTGTTGGCTAGTAGTAAAAAAAATAATAAGTTCGGTTTCAGTGGCATGAAACGACTGTAAATATTTTCATTCCCCCTGTACGGGATGCTGGTCCATCGAGGGTTACTCCCCAACTAATGCCGGTACCCATTACTCCTGGGTGGAGAGTGGGTGTGAAGTGGCTTGCCCAAGGACACAACATACGGCCAGCGGCTGGATTAGAACCTGACTCTCTGAACCGGGGAGTCACAAACCCCTATACCCACTGGGCCACAATTCTACGTTGATTGTTCTAATGCCCCATTTTGACCGTGGATTTACCTAGTGGATTTCAGCCGACGACCTATTTCACTCCAGCGCACACTGACAGAAATACAAAATCACTGATCCTATCTTTGGTAAGTTTGACTAATATGCCCAAATGCCAAGTAGAGGTCAGTTTAACCCAGAAAATAAACCTGCAATATATAGGCCTAATCAATCATCAATATGGGAACGATCGTAATCTTTGACAACCTCGGGCGCAATTGCCGTGAACCGCTAGTAATCTCAGGTGAATCTCCTAATAATTTGATCGTAAACTGAGATCGATGATGTTATCCCTCGTCCCCAGGGTGAAAACTACTATGCGACTGATAGTTTGCCCCTGGTCGATTGGGCATATACATCGCGTGCAATTGGTCATTTGGATCGGAATTACTGCATTGGCAGGCTTCGAACCTTCGGCCATTTCTGAGTGAGTTATTACGTACAAGCTGAGCAACCTATAGGCCTACGTAAACAACGCCGCAGAATCCTTGTTCAGTTGTTCTGCACGTAAAGCCTCGACTTTGATCCGGAGTGATTCCCGGAAGAAATCAATCCTTGTTCACACACAAACATATGGCATGCTGTTCCTCAATGTTGACAATAGGTTCTGTGTCATTTCTCAAGGGTGAAAGATTTTTTGTTATTCATGCGGCGGGGGTAATAGAGAAATATGTGTGCGGTCCCTCTGTCGATTGCCCCTTTTTATATTTGCCCAGTGCATGTATCGAGGCTTTACCGGGATCCATCTCGTAATTAAGATCGTGACTTCAACAGCGGCAGAGAAGTTTGCCAAGTGCAGGCTCGGCCCACCCCTATGCTTACACTTACTTCCACTTTCGGTTTTCCTTGCTCATATCCGAAGAAAATTGACCAGTTGAATTCTGGTTTCCAAACCGTGAATTTTCTGATTTTTTTTATCGGAAAATCTCAATCTCCATTCTCGGCATATTATTATGTCGGACGCAAACTTGACTCCTACCATGGATCTTTCCTCCAGGCTCAACAAAGGTCCTAAAAATCCTTGACACCTACCACAGATCCTTCATCCATGCTCTTACAAAGGTCCTAAAAATCCTTGACTCCTACCATGGATCCTTCATCAATGCTCAACAAAGGTCCTAAAAATCCTTGACACCTACCACAGATCCTTCATCCATGCTCCTACAAAGGTCCTAAAAATCCTTGACACCTACCATGGATCCTTCATCCATGCTCAACAAAGGTCCTAAAAATCCTTGACACCTACCACAGATCCTTCATCCATGCTCCTACAAAGGTCCTACAAATCCTTGACTCCTACCATAGATCCTTCATCCATGCTCCTACAAAGGTCCTAAAAATCCTTGACTCCTACCATGGATCCTTCATCAATGCTCAACAAAATTCCGTTGACTCCTACCATAGAACCTTCATCCAGCAAGGCTCCTACAAAGGTCCTACAAATCCTTGACTCCTACTATAGATCCTTCATCCGTGCTCCTACAAAGGTCCTTAAAAATCATACATAAAAATACTGACCTTTAATGTAAACTTTTGAGTTTGAATTTTTCTTTTGAAACAAAA